GTCTATCATTTTGAAGTCCAAAAATCGTCCTACCACGAACTTCTTCAATCCAGCATCCTCTGTTTTATACTTTTTGTCTAATGACTCCCAGAGCTCTTTAGCAGTATTTATTGGACTGTACACATTATATAAAGTGTTGTCCAATCCATTGAGGATGTAGTTATTACATAGGAAATCTCCATGCTTCCATGTATCAACAGCTCCTAGCTTGGTAATGTCAGTCTCACCCTCATCTAGCATTGGGGCAGTTTCAATTAGATACTTGTTTAGATTCAGAGTTGTAAGGTAGAACATAATTTTCTGTTGCCACCTTTTAAACTCCGCCCCATTGAATTTTTCGGGTTTCTCCCTATGACAGACAGGAACATTAGGCATAGTAGTACTCGTACTTGCCATTCGTCTAATATACAGACCACAGTCAAAATTAAAGAAATAAAACAACTACAATATTTAAATAATTAAACTATAGTATAAATAGACTCTGTCTTAAGATTGTTGTCCAAAATATGGTCTAAGTGTATTATATATTATAGTATTATTTATTTAAATATTATCTAAAAATATAATGTGTGTATATATATATATATATATATATATATATATAATTTGTTATAATATATAGTTAATATAATAAAATAAAACCTATAAAATAAAAGAACCTGATTAAAAGTCGAGGCTAGAATTTGATTCTATATCCTTAAGACAGATTCACCCCGCTATGGTACTAACGGACTCAGTGGCGTTTATCTCCGAGGGTACAATGACTTGTCTTCCTTCTGTAGTAGTACTGCAAACCAAAGGAATAGGCGAACCGGCTCGGTGTAGTACTCTCTGACTCGAACTCGGACTCGGACTCGGACTCGGAGTGACTGACTAAGGCTTGAACCCAAATACTAAGGTTCGAACCCACAGACTAAAGAGAGAAAGAGGAAGAAGAAAATTCAAAAGAAGAATTCTCTGAATTTTGGTGTGTTTTGCAAATGATCCAAAGGGGGGTATTTATAGGTAGCCAGGTGCTTTTTCGGGTGGGTGCAACCATGGGTTATGATGGTTCGAAAAAAGGTGTAACCCTTTGAAAAAACTGTGATTTTTTAATTTAAAAAGTGTAACCCTTTAGAAAAACTAAAATATGGTTTTTTAATTTAAAAGGTGTAACATTTTAGAAAAACTAAAAAATAATTTTTTAATTCAAAAAACCAACCCCCCAAAAAACCCATCCATTTGTGAAACCCATTTAAATAAGTCCATCCCAAAAATAGGCCCAATCCAAAATTCTATTTAATAAAAGGAATAATCCGGACATTATAATTAAGCCCAAGCTCAAGCCCAAGCCCAAGCCCAAATTCAAGCCCAAACTTGACTTATTTGAATTTCAATTGGTTTAAACATTTTTTCCATTTAGGCTTTTCAAACACCTTACTTTAAATCTAATTTCTCATTCACCCGGAAACGGATTTAAGAAAGTAAATATACCATATTCATCTCCTTGCGAAGAGGAACGCGTTGGTCTATAGATCCGCAAAAAAATTTCAGCGAAATCTATTCCAATTTTCATCCAAAGTTTATATTTTTAATGCTCCCGTTTCCAACACAAATTAGATACAGTAGACAACATATGTGTAAGCTATATAAAATACTACTCAATCTCAAGATATTCACCGTTTTGACTGGAGCAAAAAAAAAAAAATCCTGTTGCAAATGGAAGAAATGCCCTTCTATTTCTTCTATCAGCTGCGGTTCATCCGTCAAGCCTGGCCATAAAGAATCAACTTAATCCCAGGGAGAAAAGAATGACAAGTCTATCGTATAATTGGCAAATTAGACTTCATCACAGCTCAATATCAAAATTTTAAAAACTGCAGCGTAAATATAACCAAAGCCATGGATCTTTCAAACGATGCTCAGGCAACTGGGTCTCTAAAAACGATTTAGAAAGTGAAAAATGACAGGAAATTTTATGCACTGACCGTAGTACATACATAATGTAATGATTGTTAGGGTTCTTTCCCAGAACTGCTTCCACAGAATACCATCATCATCCAATGGTACAGGATAAGTTAGGTCAAAAATTTTTATGTTCGGAGATTCCTTATGACAAGTTTCTCAGAATGGTCATAGTCAGCCAAATTCAGTGGAAAACTTCCACCACAGAAAGGCATATAGCTGGATGGATTTAAATCCTCTCTCGTACTGAATCCATCCACCGGTGAATTGCAGAGACAATATTTTGTCACATCATCTAATGAAACAAACACCCAAAACCACTCCCAACAATGCCATATTATATTTATAACACCAACAGGGAAAATGTGATGCAATCCATGCCGTCAACACAATCGAAATTTAAGAATCGACCACTTTGCTGATGAACAAAAAGGTCCATTATATGAGCAACAAATCAATATTTAATAGTACCCACAAATAGAAATACATTACAAAGACTTCACACCAGGCAGTTCTTTTGTTTGCAACGATTTGGGATTTGATTTGTTCTCTGTCCTCTAGGGCAATGTTGAATAAGATCGTAAATTTAGATAAACCCATTTAATTGACCCCTCGGCTCCAGCCTATCAATCTTCTCTAATTAGAGATGCCAATCTCCTTCTGTTTCTTTCTCCTGAAGACCCATCTATTTGATCAAAATGAGATGATGTGGGCGAGATATCAGGGACATTGTCGATGCCAGAGAAGGGATAGACGGTGGAGAAATTTTACATAGCCAGAAATCTGAACCATCCAATCACCTCCATCCCCACGGCCACCATATTCAGAGTGATTAGCATCATATTTTGAATATGTATATGTTTATATATAAGAAATATAAGGCCATTTTTATTTTTCTTATATACATCAAAGAAATATGTATATGTTTATATATAAGAAATATTGGGTGGAAGTTATCTCCATTGCGTTTTGATTTTTCGACTTGTTCATTTTCTTCTTTTCGGGATGGATGGAGATTTCTGGTGCGTCGGGTTATGATCTCTTCGGAGTTTGACGGTGTCCTTAGTTTGATTTCCTTTTGTATTTGGGATATCTGGCAGGTGAGAAATCGGTTGATCTTTGATGGGATTTTATGGCGGCCTGAGCTTGTTGTTCAGAAGGCGATTGCCTATTTTTGGGAGTTTTTAGATGCTCGGTCCCTCTGTTCGTCCTTAGCTCCAGTGCAGGTTAGCACTTGGGTGGATTTGTGGCGTCCTCCTCCTTCTGGTATTGTTAAGTGTAATTTTGATGCTTAGTTTTCTCAGCAGTCCTTGAGGGGAGGCGGGGGAACGGTTTTCCGGAATTCCTGTGGTGCTGTGCTTAAGGCGGTTATTTTTCATCCCTTTTCTGCTTCCTCTTCTTTGCAGGCGGAATTTCTGGTGTGTCAGCATGCTGTTTTTTCTGCTTTGGAGCTTGGTTTTTCTTACTTATGGTTTGAATCGGATGCCAAAGTTGTTGTGGATGGAGTGCTGCATGGGGAGACTTGTCCATCGGAAATTGCTCCTATTTGATCTTCGGCGATTTTCGTCTGCCTCTTTAACTCATGTGCGTCATCAGGGTAATAGGGTGGCTCATGCTTTGGCTTCTCTTTTGCGGCCTAGGCTTGGGACGGATCAGGTGTTGTCGTCTCTTCCTCCTTCTGTTGTGCCTCTTGCAAAGGTAGATTCTGGATGCGCTTTGTTTTAGGGTTGTTATGTGTTGTGTTTTGGTTGTCTTTGACAAGAAAAAACAAATAATAAATAAAAAAAATAAAAATATAAGGTGTTAATAGCTTTAAAACATCCACATTACCTAAGTTACTATCTTATTAGTCCTAAAACAAATGTGTTAAAAGATAATATTGACTATATTCAACTTCATTCTTTAATGCTTTAGTATTCATTATACATATTGGTTGTTATTTTTACTAGATGTGCAATATAGGAGAGTAGTAACATATCCGTACTATGATGGACGGCGGAGCCGCTAATCAGACGGATATCCTAACACCAACCCCTATGCTTTCCAAGTGACTTGTAACAACCACTTACCTATAATGAATGTACTTGACAACTTGTGAACACTTATTTGGATATTTGGATAGACTTCAACATTACAAACAAATTCCCGACGCCTTAGCCTCATTTTAATTAAGAAAGACAACTATAAAATACTGAAATTTCGACTACCAATCAAATCAAACTTCTAAAGAAACAACCTTAAATCTGGATTCCATATTTCTTTCCAACTCCCTCTGTGGTTCGACACTTGGAGTTACCAAGACTATGTTATAACTTGACTACCTGCACTTGGGTACTTTAGCGTGCAACATTTCGGACACGTCAGAGACAACGAGAGGGAGAGAGATGAATGGCCTGATGGGACCCAAAAACTTTGCGGGTTAACAGCATCCCGTTAATGTTAGAAATATATTAGGTTATTAACCATACGAAACAACAGCATTTGGGATGGTTTTGGGTTTTTTCCTTATCAGATGACGTAGCAAAATCTTGGCTGCTGAGTTCGCCAGTGAAAAGAAGCGGATGGATTCCATACGATAGAGGAGCCGAATCCATAGATAGATACTAATGAAATGGTAGCGAGTAACCAGGTTATATTAAATGCATGAATGCCAAAGAAACCTGGGGTGTAAAGCTAGTTTTCTAGGATCCTTCAAATCATAAGAAATATGGACCTCATATGTCGTCTTTGTTCAGCACAAAAATAGTTGATCAAAATTTAGTGAGATATCATATTTCCACAAAGTTACACCATAATATCTACATCAACTATCAAGAATTAATGCATGAATTTAAGATAGTATCATCTTTTGGGTGTGCTTGCATTCATGTGTATGCATGCATGTGTGCACATAGGTGTGTGAGAAATAGAGCAAGCAGATGTGAGAATTGAATGTACTTTCCCCCAAATAAGATGAAGCGTTCAGATAAACATGTATGGATATTCACAAATACTTTATTTGCACAGGAGATACATTGATATTCTTTTAAAAAGATGGCGCAATGAGGGGGGGAATGGGTACTCAATAAAAATATTAAGGTTGAATGTTATAGATTCAACAAGCCACATCAAATCAAGGGAGAAGTAAAGCTCAGTAAAGAGGAAACTAATACTCTTACTGGATTATGATACAAGATGAAAGAATTCCTGAACCAAGAATCAGTATGAGCATCAGACAAAAAAGTTCTCGGACAAAGCAGCAGCACCTATTAGACCACCAAGGCACAACAAGGAAAAAATATCTGCAATCCCAATACATGAGTCTGATGGGAAGTAAATCTTGTGAGTGTTGCAGTCACCTCGAAAACCTCTAACAATCATTGCCTGTAAAGCCACAGAACTGATCAGATTTAAAAGTTAAAACTTAATATGGGAATAACTATTCAAACTAATATCAATCTTTTAGTTAGTTAGTTTTTTTTTTTTTTTTTAATTCCTTGGCATCTTTAATTAGTTTACTATAAGCTAAAGTTTGTCTCTCTTGTAATTGAGTCCTTCAGAATCCCAGACTAAGACCAAGGACTTTATGCATGGAGATTGGTACTTCCAAATATAAAAATCAGCATTGAAATCACATGAGCTAGGTCAATACATAGTTCGAGAGTCTATCATCACCAGACCAAAACGACTCAACTGAGTCATATAGCTATTTGTGGCCTTAGCAACAATAAAGAGTTACAATACAGGGCAGACAAGCTAATTCAAATCATCAAGGATATCACATAAGCTATAGTTAGATGGTCTGATGGTCTATCGTCCCGAGACCAAGACAACACGGTCGTTTCAGGTCTTGGTAGCCTCAGTGATAATAAAAAGTCACAGAACAGGGTGGACACGGTCATCATTGACTCCTTGACTTGGGCCAGTATCAGCTTATTCAAATAAAATGTAATCATATCAAGAGACGGCTGTAAAAGCATGTTATGATAAGAAATAAATTCCTACAGAGTGAATGAGTCTTTCTTATCCTTTTTGCCACAAATCAAAATCTTTGCCCACAGCTCTCACCTTCCCTTACTCGACCAAAACTCTAGTACCACCACCTCATATTCTTGCTCATTGTCTCTGATGATCAAAAACTTCATTACCGAAAGCCACAATACCATATATCTTTTTTACGGATAAGAAATGAAAAGAATATTATTAACAAGAAGGAAATAGAAATAAGGAGGATGATTTCTCCTACAAGAATGAGGAAAAATAAACATATAGTGCTCTTTTATTAGCGGGCATTTCTTTGATTGCACTCACATTGACCCTCCTCCCACAATTCAAATCTAAGGAAAACCGAAAATATTGTAGCCCTATTAAAGTAAGGCTCTCACATCTCTCTGGTCAAACCCCCTCCCCCTAGGTAGAAAGGAAAGGGTTTTTCTTATTAACCAGGTAAGGGGGTGAGAGTTAAGGCTTTCACATCTCTTTTTGTCAAACCCTCCCCCCAGGTGATGGTCTTTTCTTATTAAAGAAAAAGAATGTTCAAATTTTGAATTACCCATCCACTTGGAAATACAAACTTAAGAAGTTAAGGACACATTGCCTAAATGAAATAGGAATTAACAAGTTCTAGAAAATATATCAAACCTGAGAAACCTGCTCTGCGTGGCTAAATATATTCTTGAATACCCGACGAATGTATGTAAAGAAAACTGCAAAGTCACAAAAAAATAGAAACTGATATAAATATTTTATAGTCAATATAATATTCAAGCAAGACATACACATTGGAATGAAAGCAACGTACTGAACAATGAAATAAATATTTTAGAGTCAATATTATATTCAAGCAAGACATACGCATTGTATTGAAAGCAATATACTGAATACAATAAAGGCAATCTGAAGAGAAAGTACCAAAACTAGGACAAACTCAATTCTCAGGTGATAAAAAGGGAGTTCTGTTCAGAAGTACAGGACACAGAACCAAGAGCTTCGGCACATGTTTTGGTTAAATTTCAGTGCATATCTCCACGATCAAGACAAGTAAGTCTACCTAACTAGTTTCATCACAGCCAAAACAAATACTTGCTGCGATTCTAATCTTGAGAGATGACTTGCACCACTAAATCAGAATGACAATTAACCCATTCAAATTCTCTATGCAAAACAATCATTTAGGGACCAACATGTGAGCCATGTAACTGGCGGAGGTTCTGGATAATAGAATATTGCAACCTAACAGAAACAGTACTCTCTTTATCACCTATGCTGTATAGCTGATAAAGATACATAAATATATAGAAAGATATATTTTATATGCTAAATTATATAGTACCATCGATTGTCTCCATAATGGTCAACTGTCGCCAATTTATCCTACGAGATATAATCCCCAGTGCAACATTACGGACCTGCCATGTAATGCAGAAATTCCAAGATTTAAGTATTGATAAGTGTTTTTAAAATTAAATATCATTGATAGATAATCTTCTGTATAAAACTTCATTGAAAAATATATTGACAATCCATTGACATACATGAAAAAAATTCAAAAAACTATATCATATCTTACCTCATCAAACACCAGATTGATGAACCTCAGTGAAAGTAGGAGAGTAAGGATAACTTCACCCACTGGAACACCAAATTTTTTCAAGGGGAGCACAAACCATTGCAAAGCATGTGCAAGTTGCTCTGGGGTTGTGGTGGTCATGCAAAGGCTTGCGCTTTGGAAGATCTTTCAGAAAAATAGAGACCTACTTCTCATAAATATAATACAATCCAAGCAACCAGACAAAATTCATGAAAGCTTAATAACAACTGCTTCCATCTTAAATGATGATAAATAAGAAAAAAAGTTGCAACAATCATGATGTTCTTAAGAAGAGTTAGAACACCTGAAAAGAATAAATTCCTTATATTTTCTTTTCCACCTAACATATCAACTTTATATTCTCTACTTACTGGAAAAAAAAAAAAAAAAAAAACTTAATATTTTTGCTAACCAGAGAAAAAAATAAATAAATAAAAATTATATTGTCTATGATTGTCACGATTCAGATTATTCAGAGATTTCAGGAAACAATGACGTTCATTTTTTATATATGTTATTTGGTAACAAGAAAAAAATTGATAAATAAACTTAATTTGTATATGATTATCATGAGTTAAATTATCTTCAGATTTCAAGAAACAATAATGTTCAATTTTGTCTCTACTTTATCTTAGTGTTTTACATGAACATTTAAGTTCTTTGTGGTTATCAGTTATCACCTTACCTCTTTCAAATTATCTTTAGATTTCAAGATGCAATAATGTTCGATTTTGTCTCTACTTTATCTTAGTGTTTTACATGAAATTTAAGTTCTTTGTGGTTATCAGTTATCACCTTACCTATTTCAAATTCATGTGCCCGTCCATGGAATTTAAAACCTTTTCCAGAACCCCGATAAACTTAAATCTCATCCTCTCTCTCTGTCTATAATTTTTGTTAACAACATTTTTTGCACAAAGGTGGTTAAGTATAAAAAAGAATTATCATATACTTAAAATTTGTTCAGCATTCAGCCATTTTAAGTGATTTTATTTGGATATTTGTCCAAAAATTTTAAAACTTGACAGCTATAACAATTTCCCCCTGAGACCAGATTGATCAGGGAGAAATAACATTGAAATAATAATTCAATACAAGTTTTTGGAAGTTCAAAGAATTTTTTTAATCGAATGGAACTAATATATTTAGAATTTCAAATATCTGTTAAAAATAAAAATCACAAGATTGCATTCATTTATTCGGTGCATAGTTATGTTATGAGAGATTGAAATTTATGCCAAGACAACCGGTGCCTACTACATGTATAGCATTGATACTTGATACAATAAAAAGCCAAACTATTTACAGTGCTGCTTTTCCTAACTTCATAGTTTCGTTATAAATTGACAGTTACCCATGTGTAGAACTATTGATTTATAATACAAATTTGAATCAAAGGTGTCTTTGCATGTGGACAATAATGCCAAATCATCAATAAGAAGGGATATAAGAGAAGGAATTTTTTTTCACAATCCCAATATTTCTTTTGCTGCCTCTTCTTCTTCTTCTTCTTCTTTTTATTTTTATTTTTTTCAACTTTGTAACAAAGACTCCGTTCTATAAAAGGGCATGTTCTTTCCAATGATTCATGGATATGATGGATAATTTGACTTCTATATGTGTAAATCACAGAAATCTAACTTACTGTGAAAGTTAAACATGCAGATGTGCTTGCTACAGACAAGCCCTTCCTTGTAAGCTGTAGAGGTCCAAACTTCATAATTACATATGAATAACCTCCCAAAGATGCCGGAAGATTTGTCAAACCTATAACTGAAGGTGGTGGAGTTCTTTGCTGGACAAGGGGAGGTACACCATCTGTACCCAGCCCCAACATTATAAATAAAATCCCCGAGAGCAGTGATACTCTTCCCAATTGATCCTACAAGAATATTGGAGAAATTTAAAAAGGGATTCCCATGCATTAGAAAATTGGTGATCTTTAAATGAGAAACATCATGCATTATTCAGAATAGCAGAAAATAAAACAAAACATAATACCGCTCTATTACAACATCTTCTAGCAACATAAACAACTCAAAGAAAATAAAGCTAATTAACGGACAACTCCATGTCACAAAATAATGTCCTCAAAAACAAAATCAAATAAATCTACTAAAAGATGTTCTCGATCCCAAGGAAAAAAGAAATCCTTCTGTAATTGACTCTACAAGCTCAAAAAGTTGAAAAGTTATACTTACCATCCACACATGTTTTGGGAGAACCCATACGGATAATAGAGACATATATATGACTAATCCAAAGCGCATTATAATATGTGACCTTGCTGGTAAAATAACAAGAGCCAGGAGCCATGCCTGCATAATCAACACCACTAGTTTTTAGGAAAATAATTTCTAAGATAATGAACAAAACAATAGTTCAAGGAGGAAAATAAATCACAAACACACACACAACCTAGTAGTTTTTTCTTAGGAAAATGAGAAACCTCTTCCACAATTAGGCCCTCAAGAAATTTTGTGCAAAATCAACAAGAACAAGATAGCCAATCTCAATAATTCAAATGTCTCTTCTGCTTAAACAGCTAATCTCTCCTGTATGGTGTTGGGGACATTATGAGAAAATGCCTCATTATAGAAAGCCTTACCTTTTTAACAACTTATTGCACTATTTAATACGGAGTAATAAAAGAATTGTATCACTAAACTCTAGATGACAACACCTTTTTTTTAATAATAATATTGGGACCTGAAATCCATCCTAACATACAAGTTATAGCTCAAAGATTCGGCCTTTACAATTAGGACACTGCAAGAAATAAATACAACAGATATACGCCTTTATCATCTTGATTTCTTAATTGGGAGCTTGAACTTGATCAGTTCATCAAATAAAAAAAACAGATATAGGCTTACAAGGATGCATGAATTGTGTAGAGCATTACAGGCGTAAAGAACAGAACAACATTAAACATCCCATAAAATTTTATTTTCTAGGACTTTGCTTGTTTTTTCTCATCAAACAAACAGAGCCAAGTTGAGAACTCATTAACTAAACCACAAACTAAAAGCCACCCAAAAAAGAGAGAGTGAAAATATTCAAAATCCCGCAATTACAAATTTAACTAATTCATCAAGTCTCAACTATAAAACAATCAAAATGCAAACAAATTGAAATTACCAATTTGATTCTGGGGTCCACAGAATGCAAGAACGTGGTTGGGGAAGAGATATACTGGCAAATGGGACTGGAGGTCGCACCGGATATCAATCTCAGAACTTTATCAGCTGCAATAATATTTCTGGGTAACCATTTGTCCCAGTTTCCAGTACCACCATCACTGTCCGCTACACATCTGATCTGGGGTCTTAGGGTTTGGCTCAGAGAGAGGGTTGGACTAGGGTTTGAGTGGTTTGGGGTGAATTGTTTGAACAATGAGGGTGTAAGGGTTTTGAAACTGTGGTGAGAAGAGAGAGCAGGGAAAGTGACCGTTGGGTGGGTTTGTAGAAGAATGCAATACATGGGTGCCAAATTGTGGGAACAGTTTGATTTCTAGCTAGACACACAGGATAAATTGGAAGGTTATATATATATATATTATTTCTTTTTGTTCAAAAATGCGAAAAAAACATAAAAAAACATTTATTATGTTCTAAATGCTAATTTTGACTTGTATTATTATTATTATTATTTTATCATCTCACATATTATTTATGATATGAATTTTAATTTATTTAATACTTGAATATATTATTACGTTGCATTTTTAATAGGAACAACGATGTTGAATTTATAAGTAAGTCATTGTTTGTGTTAAATGGTATAAAAAATTCAATAGAAAACCACCAAAATTCTTTAAAAATTTATGTTTATTGATTTGTTTATAAAAGTAAACATTTCAGTAATTTATTTGACTTATGTGTGGGGAGGGGATTCAACAAATCATCAAAAACCAAACCGCTATAACTGATATAACCTCTTTGCAAAGTGAAAAATACAATTACAAATTATTAATACAACAACAGAGTCCATCATTACAAAATATATATATATATACACACACACACAATTACAGTAAGAGCAACGGAATAATAAACAAATTGGAGATAACAAGCAATTTGTTGATATTTAATTTCAAAATCAAATCTAAAAATTTTAATTTTTCATAGAAAGAAAATAAAAATAATAATAAAAAACTTTATTACTTTTAGGGACGCACGTCCTGTCATATTTAAACAAAGCTGAAAGAATCATTAATGAGAGCTGGACGGGACGGAGTTGGAGGAAAAACCCAAACCAAACAGGTTAGATTATGTGCATGTGTTTCCTTATATCTCTAAGTATCTAACACAGACATCACCCACCCATCTATATATAGTTGTATGTGTTTTTATGTCACACATACATCATCCAATCTCTCTGGTTTTCCACCATATGCCACTTAGGTTGGATGTTCGATCCGGTTCTAATTTCAGTTGTTCCAATTTATATATAAGATTCTGGTTCCAATTTCTAATGTTTCTATACTTCATTTATGTTTTATTGCTTTTGGTTTTTCATTTTTGATCAATGATTCAAGCTGTTAGCTCTCTCCCTGTAGAGAGAGAAAGTAGCCAATCTTGTGAGATCAATATATTCGTGGGGTTGATTTTTTTTTGGTTAAAGTATGATGACATTGACATTTCTTATTATTATTATTTTCTTATTTTTTTTCTATCTGGGAAAAAATAAAAATAAATTTGAGTTGTCACAGAATATGATTTATTTATTTATTTATTTTTTTATCCATCTTTTCATAAGTGCGGAACTTAAAGGCTTCATTTGTTTGAGTGTAAAATGTTTTGAAATAATTTCTTTTTTTAATGTATAGTGTATTTTTTTTTCCCTGTATTTAGCACTTTGAAAATTTTCTTGAAAATGAACAATATTTTACCTCAAAATAAACAAAGTATTATTAGTTAAGCGATAATATAAAACCCGTAAATTGCATTCAAGTTGTATTAAAAACTCGTCGGTTACATTTATAGATATGGTTTAATAGCTCTCAACTTTTGGTTGTCGGGAGCTATCATGTTATATAAAGGTTTTTAATAATTCATTTTTGACAACTGCTATAAAAATCGTGACTAAGTCTCTCGTAAGTTTTTCAAAATAATAAAAATATTTTTTTAAATGTGTATAGCTATTATCAATTTGTATTGTTACTATTAGTTGTTATATTAAGTTGGTTGTATAATTGAGTAAAAGTAGAGGTCAAATGTATTATTTTATTCTAAGAAGGTTAAATTGAGTCCTTGCCAAAAACAAAAAAAAAAAAACAAAAAGCAAAGTCCAATCATCTTACACCACTTACAAGTTACATAGACCCATTAAAATCACTAAACTACGCCTATTGATGACCCAAGCGCCGTGAGCGTCTCGTGCATATCTCCAGCCACGGCCTGGATAGCAACCACGTAAAATAGTTGTGTCCAGCTTAGAATTATGATACAAGCCTCCAGGGCATGCTGCATATCAATAGAATCAACACCACCGTCACATATACCATTAGTATTTCTATATATATATATATATATACATACACATATATAAGCCAATTTATGTGAGGTGGGGATGGAAGTGTGGGGCCATGACCACTTTCTTACACCAAAATAGTAATGATATCAGGCCTATACTTGAAACTAATTTTTGTTCCTAAATTATACTACGTAGCATTTGACTTTTAGAACTCTAAATCATTTCATTTTTCTTTCAAAATTATACAAATTTGCGCTCACCAAGTTTGAATGTGTCAAATTGGGAAAAGAATAGTCTGAATCTGTCCAGCCCATATTAATCTCTTTGCAAGCCAATCTGCAGGAAAATCATTAGTAGAAAAGGTATATGATGAGTTAATCACTGTGACGTACACCCCAATTTTTTTTTATTTTTGAATTAATAATTGAACGAAAACAAAAAACAAAAAAAAATGAAAAAGAGGATAGCTTAATTAATTAATCACCCCATGGCAAGTAATGTAAGAAACCAAGTGGTGAGAGAAGAGGCAGCAGTTGTAAGTAGGTTGGGATAATCCCACTCTCTAAGGTTACTGATTCCGGTAATTGAGGTTGTGAAGCCCACAATGCCAGCGACAAGTGAGAAAATGACGAGAAAACCAGTCGCCATATTACCAAATGGAAAATACATTGGAAATATGCGAGCTGGGGTTGACAAGTATGCTGCACAAACAAATATGATCACATAAAACAGGTTATTATTGTGATATAAATTTGTCATCTTTCATGTTTTTTTCGAGCTTTCAATTGTAACGGTTGATTCACATTGGAGTCAAGGATCAATATAAGTTCTCAATAAAGAGGTTGGTATTTCAGTTCTACCAAGAAATATATATATACATATATATGTACAGTGAACGTGTTTGCTTGAACATTTGAAAAAATTAAAATTTAAAAACATCAGAATAACCTATTTCATCATGTGTTTGAATCCCATAATTTACTGCCCACGTCGCAAGTATGATGACAATAAAATACAGTATGAGATTGAGAATTAAGAGGAATATCGGTACTCTTTTCGCATCAGCCATGGCCTTTGAAGCTTTAGAATCAGGGGAGAGAGCGACAAAATTTGGTCACCTGGCCTTCTTGTGCTCAAAAGATATCTATATGTGTGTGTGTATCTATATATATATATATATAAAAGCTAAGAAGGGTTCTTTCCTTTTTATCAAAGAAACCTTACTTTGTCAGATTCTTTTTCACTAATCGTGCTTTTCCTACTGGAGTGTCTTCAATTCAAGGAAACGGTTATAATTCCTTTCTCTTACGGTTGGGTTTGCCTCACTGTGTAAATTACCCCTTTAGCCTTCCACTCTTCTAAGTTTCAAACTTATTAAATTTTTTTTTTTTTTTTTGCATATTAATTTCTGCACATCAAATCAGCTTTATATTAGGTAGCCCGAGTACCATGAATATATTACTCCGGGTTAGCCAATGATAGAATTATTATTTTTTATTATTAAAATAAATTGTGAGTCCTCTTCGTAAAAAAAAAAAATACTAAAAAAATATATATATATCCCGAACATCGTAACTTTAGTCGTAATAAAATTTTTCTATATGTTGGAGTGAGAACAAATTCATTATTCATTTCTAGCCCTCTTTTTATGTGGAGAAAATTCAAAACAAAATAACCATCATAATCTTTCAAAAAAATTTTTTTGTTTTTTTCTTAGAAGTTCTCTTTTTGCAATTCAAGGAAACGGTTATAATTCATTTCTCTTAATTTCTCTATGTGATTCAAACAAAAGCATTTTCTGGAGAAATTGCAAATTGAGATTTGAAATTCAAAATAAAATTCTCTTCACCTCATGTGAGAAATTTAACAATATGAAATTGCTGTGTTTATACTTTAGAACTATTAAATACAGGTCAATATTAACTTATAAGAGTAGTGATTTATGACCGAATTTGACAATTATCGAATTTAATTTACGTGGAATGATAGTGGGTCCCATTATAATGATGTCATTACTGAATTTTGTTTTTAAATTATTATTCTAATAAATATTTTTATTTATTTATTTTTAATGCTGTGGATCTGTACTAGTACTTGTTTAGTTGTTCAAAAACAGGGGAAACTGGCTATGGGTGAAGTCCAGAAATAATGCAATTCCAAACATCCAAATCTCCAACTTACACGGCCTTTTAAGTGTCAAATTTATGAGCACGCCCCAATCTTGAAGATTCCTATCACATGAAAAAACAAATATCTAGAGTTTAATGTCACGACTTAGACTTGACGTCTGGCGTAACTTTTGATTACGGAATGTAACATTAAACATGGAGAATCACTCACTTGGGGACCTTTATTTTATTATTTTTCCGACCAAGGTAGTGTCATATGCCTTATTATGTAGTGGACATGGGAAAAAATAGTACAATTCCTCATTTATTCAAGCTTCATAATTTGTTGGGATTAAAAAATAAACAATAAAATGCTGAATAGCGTTTTCATTTCCTGAGGGTGCAACACACAATGAGCACTTCATTTTTTTTTTTTTTTTTTTTTTAAACAAAAAGATTTTGTTATACTCTTACATTACCGTGAGATATATATATATATATATATATTATACAAATTGTTGAGGAATGTGCACAATTAATTCTCAAGGTTACAATGTTAAAAAATAATAATATAAATAATGAAACCTCTCAAGGTTAGAAAATTAACTCACCACTCGAGAGGTTAGGCAAGACATCTGACCTAGAAAATCCTCTCAAAGATATGTTGTTTGGTCTAATTTGTAAAAGTTGGGACCTATTAAACCTTATAAAATTCAATTCACAGGTTTTAAATACAACAAATAAAAAACAATAATTCATATAGAAGTTTTTGAATAGGCTGTCATCTCATTAATAAATTGCTCAGACATTGCTTGAAATATTTAAAATCACTCATAAAAATAAGGATATCAGAGCTTCCACACTCCCTTTTAATGAGGGCAAATGTACATCAAACATATGCAATTCTCTTAAAGAAAAGAAATTTGAGAAATGTATGATAATAATTCTGGGCGATACATTTTGCTGTAACGATGCTTAGCTCTTCCTCAATGGTACCTCTGTCGCGCGATGACATCTTCAACCCCAGCATGAATAGCACCCATGCAAAATAGTTGTGTCCCGCTTAGAAGAATGACGATGGTCTCAAGGGTTCTCTGCATATCATTACAATCAGCAACATTGTTATATACACACACACACATATATATACATACATATATATATCATATACAATATTAATCTCTTTGCAAATCAAATTCAAATTCATTTTTTGTTTCATATGAAGAAAGCAAATTTGCACTCGCCAAGTTTGAATCTGTCCAGCCTATATGAATCTCTTTGCAAGCCAATCTGCACCGAAAACATTAGATGAGTTTAATCACTATGACACCTCTCTTTTTTTGTTTTTTTGTTTTTGTTTTTTTTTTAATTAATAACTGAAAGAAAACAAATAAAAGTAAAATTAATCACCCCATGGCAAGTAATGTAAGTGACCAAGTCAAGAGAGAAGAGGCAGCAGCTGCATATAAGTTTGGAGCATTCCATTGAATGACATTATGGATTCCGGTAAGTGAGGTTGTGAAGCCCACAATGCCAGCGATGAACGAGAAAATGACGAAAAAACCAGTGGCCATATTACCAAATGGAAAATATATTGGAAAAATGCGAGCTGGGATTGACAACACAGAAGCTGCACAAAACAAGTTGTTATTGAGAAAAAAAAAAAAGAAAAAATTGTGATCTTTGATGCTGCATCGAGCTTTCAATTATAACGGTTGATTAATTACCTGATTCTTGAGATCTTTCAATCCCATGATTTACAGCCCACGCAGCCATTATGATGACAATGCCATACAGTATGAGATTGAGAATTAAGAGGAGGAATGCTGCTGATTTTCCTGCTCCAGAAGCCATGGCCTGCCTTTGAAGGTTTAGAATCAGGAAGAGAGAGAGAGACAAGCTTTGGTCACCCTTATTGTGCTCAAGAGAGAAATATATATAAGCTATGAATGGTTCTAACCTTTAATCAAAGAAAACTTGTACTGTCAAATTCTTTATTTAGTGGTTTTGCTCTTCCTTTTCATTTATAAAGGAGTTCCTTCAATTCAAAGAAATGGCTGCAATTCCTTTCTCTTCTTGTTGGGTTTGCCCCAAAGATGGGCAAAGCATCACTTTGCCTACCATTCTTCCAAGTTGCAAAGTTCTTAATTCATCCAACCAAAAAGGGCTGTTTTTATTTCGCATATTAGTTTCTGCCCATCATATCTGCTTTACTTTCCGGGGAAAAAATAAAGTTCTGAACATCATGACTTTAGGAAAAATAAAAAATTTCCTCCAGTTGGTGCTGTTTGCAGTTATAATTGTAATCTAACATGTTTACCCACAAAACACACGCACCAATCTAACATGTTAAGAGATTTAATCTATTGAATTTTCCCGGACAGTTAAAGTCAGCTGGATGGATGAAAAATTTACGTAGTAAACTAGCCATGCTTGCTCCCCTAGAAGATTAGCTGATGGTGCTCTTTCCATACGAAAAGAAAGAATTCGAATTCAAAATGAATTCTCTTCACCTCCTGTAAGAAACTTGACAGCGAGGAAAAGCTGTGTTTTATGCTGTAGAATCTTCAAATAGAACCAATATTTTGGTATTTGTAATGCATTTTTTCTTTAATGCTGTGGATTTGTACTGCTGGTTTAGATGTTTAAAAAACAGGGGAAATTGGCTAAAGAGTGAAGTCCATTAATGATGCAATTGCAAACATCCAAGTTACACAGCCTTAAAACTGTCAAATTCATGAATACACCCTGATCCTAAAGATTCCTAGCACATTAAAAAACAACTATCTAGAGCTTAAGCATGAAGAATGACTCACTCTGGGACCTTTATTACAAGTAATATTCTGTAGAGGATCTAGAGAAAAGTTAGTGCAGTTCCTCACTCGTAGACTCAGTGATCCCAACTCATCTTCTGTTGGTCCCTTCAATTTACCCCCGACTGATTTCAGACATTCAATGCCAGTTTCTGAGCAGCAAGAGCTTCAGCCTCAAGCGTGGGCTCCCACAGTAGAGTAGTTTCGGCTAATAATGAGGTCACAATATATGGGTCCATGTTTGAAGCTGGGCGGCGATCTTCCAAGTAACCTAAAAGAAACCGAAACGATGATGTTTATTGCAATGAGTAATAGATGATTGAATCAAGGTAGATGAACTCTTGGTCTATTGTTTCTAAAGAAATACAATCTAGGATTATGTCAGTACTGTTGAGAGCAGGACATTTAGAAAAATAGAATGCACTTTCTGTTTATTTTAGAGAAAGATGCATTTGAGTCAAAATCTTATAATTTAAATATATAAAATGGTAGAAATTTATTAAGAAACTATCTACTTTTTATTTATTTCATACAGAAATAGTTAAAATGTAGCATTTTTAGTATTATTAACAGCATACCTTTCCCTTGCTGCTCGGTTTCACGCCCCACTCTGATTGAGCAACCACGATTAGCAACTCCCTGAAAGTTGAGATCAAGTGATTTAATTATCAAAATTCAGGAAAAACAATAATTTTCCCATAATTATTTAAAATAATAAGAGCCAAATGTTATTTGGAGTATACCCAAGAAAATGTATTGATATCGGCTGTTTCATGCTTTCCTGTCAACCTTCTCTCATTTCCTTCTCCATAAGCACTGATGTGGTCTTTGTGGCGAAGTGACAGATTCAGAATTGCCTTCTTTATTACTTCAAAACCTCCTTCCTCTCTCATAGTCTTTGTACTGTTAATCCAAACATTATTCAATTAAATATTGAATGTTGATCTTTAATGATATATTTTTGTGTTTTGGCATGCTTTCTCAGCACAGAATATACATGGGATGCAGTTTCTAGCCTGTTTTCCCAGTAATGAATCATCGGTGGATATAAAGAAAATTGTAGAAATACCTGTAATTGGTGTGGCATCCTGCACCATTCCAGTCACCCTGTTGACTCCAACAAGAATATCAGTTATCTCTATAATTATTCATTTGAAGGAAGAAAACCTGAGTATAAATGGGATTGATATAGTTTACCTCCTCTATTGGTTTCGGGTCAAGTGAAAGAACAACACCAGCTTGTTCAGTAATTCTCTGTAAACATAAAAAAATAAACTAACTACGTTAGTTATGGGACTATGGCATAGTAAATTTCATATTGCAGGTTACTAAAAGGTTCTCCTTTGAAATGAATGTATTTATAAACTCTTAAATAGACAAAGATAAATTACCTCAAGGAGGTATCTAGCACACCAGATATGATCTGCAGCTTCAATTCCCACGCTAGGACCCACTTGAAATTCCCACTGCAAAAGAAAAAATCCTTGGATTAACAGTGACAAACTACACAACACTGTGCTCATGCATTAGACAAGAAAAGGGAAGGAAGAGAAGAAAACCTGGCCTGGCATAACCTCCCCATTGGTCCCACTAATATTAATACCGGCATATAAGCAAGCCTTGTAATGAGCATCGGAAATGTCACGACCGAATGACTTATCCGCCCCAGCACCACAGTAGTAAGGACCCTAAAATTTTCAAGAAAAAAAATGAATAGGAAAGTCAATACATAAACTTTATATCATATAATCTTGTCAGATCATTAATGCTCTATACTAAATTAACTTATAACTATGAGTTCTAACTAAATATGTGATTACAGAGTAGCAGGATTATCTATTCTTGGAATAGATTGGGTTACCTGAGGACCAGGATAGCCTCCAACAGGCCAGCCCAGAGGCCATTTCACGTTTGTTTGGAGTAAGGTGTACTCTTGCTCTAATCCAAACCTAGTTCAGATTGATTACAAATATATTAGCAACATCCATCTAAAAGATCAATGAAAGAATCGTGAAAGCAATTTGTTTGACCTACTAGTTCACTGACAATCTTCAGTATTATCAAGTACCATTTCTCATGTAGAAAACTAGTAATCAAAGAATTTTTAAGGGGAATAAAATCCTCTGGAAAGAGATAACAACAAAAAGGAACTTACCATGGTACTTCAGTTGCAACCTTTGGGTTACTGAAAATCTCGGCAGCCCTATGGCGTTTGTTTGTGGGGATGGGCTCACCGGCTGGCGTATAGGTATCACATATCACCTTTTCAGATCACAGATAAAAATAAAGAATTGTAAGTTAGATATAGTTCATATTTTTATCAGAATACAAACATGTAAAAGAATAATTAAATAAAATTATTTTACAATATCTTTATATATCACCAGTTGCTCGCATTATATTACACTTACCAAGATATTGTTACCACCACGAAAAGGGTCCTTAAAAATTGCTTGAGGGCTTAAGAAGAAAGAAAATCAATCAAGATTAACATTTGAAAGAACAAAGTAAATTAAAACAAATAAAAACAAACAGTCACTTATATAAGATCTTACTATAGGATAACTTCACTATCTTCTCCTGGTGCTTGTCCAGTACTAGACCCATCGTAGTTCCACTTTGGAAGCTCGGATGGGTGTTTAACTGGCTTTGAGATCGTCTGGAAGAATGCAATAAGTATATGAATATTTGAAATAATAAAGTAACACACACACAACTCATATTTTAACCAACTCAATTAAGACATAACATCGTAAAAGTCATATTACCTTTGATTTACTACGCAAATCAATACCGGATCCTCCAATCCTGTTTCAGAAGGAGAGATAATAGATTTAAAATGTAGAGTTGTGGTGACATAGACATAGTAGGAAATAACTTTGAAAACAGTCATCTCAGAATCATCCATGAAAAATGACTCATTAACTACAAGGATCATTTGTAGAAGATGTACCAAATATACTCGGCAATGATCTTATCAGTGTATGGAGTAACGTCCATATTCAGCAGATCCTCCATTCTGTTAATGGTGCCATTTTCAGACTGAGCAAACACTCGAAATTTGGCAGAACTTTTAGCTATTCCTTTCTTGTTCTGTCTCAACAATAGGGAACTCCACATCTTTGATGTCATTGGACTTGCATTTGTTGAGTTCTTTGTAATTCTGATCTGCCACTGTGGGGAGGGTGCCAAAATTTGTGCCATTTTCACCTATACCCCCACTGAAAAATAAAACGGCATGAATAAGGGTATAAGATTGAAGTGAGAAGTTTGTTTTTCTTTGGGTTCTCCAATCATCATTGAAGCCAAATGATCATGTAAGATTGTTCTTCCCATAATCTCCATAATAGTATATTTAAATCTAGTCTAATATTCAAGTTCAAAGAAGAAAAAAGAAAAAATATTGTCTATGAAATGTGACATGCCAATGCAAGGTCTCTCTTGCCTACCCTGTGAAATTGGTATATCAAATGAAACTCAAATTTCAAAACAGAGATAGGAGGAAAGGACCACCTAAGTGATCAAATTTGTGGTTTACTAGAGAGAAAATATTGTCTCAGCGAGAGACGTCAACAAATAAACAAAAGGGTTGAATAAAAATCCATTAACCGAGGTAACCTATCAATACCAAGCCAAAAGAAATCTTCATATTTTATTCCTACATATCTAGGCTCAATTCTTTTGTTAAGTCATAGGCTTTAGTTGCTTTCACTTAATTCATCCAGGCCATTAGCTCCGGCCAAATTGTTCTTTACTGGGTTCCATTTGACTGGTCCTATGACCTTTTTTTACTCTTTTTTTTTTTTTTTTTTCCTTTTGGGGGTAAATAATCATTGCACTCACCTATTTTGCCCCCACTTGAGACTTGGACCCCGACCTCCCTACCTAGGCCAAGGGTCCTCCTACCACCTGTGCTAATTCAGTGTCCTCTTTTCCACATTAATTTTCAGTACTTTGGGTAATTATTAACTTACTTGCTCTCCTATATATATTTTTTTTTTTCTGGATATTTTATCAACTTACCATTTGCTATCTTGACACGACCTACAATTTGAAATGAAAACCAAACATAATAGTTAATTATTATGTGTTTAACAATTATTTCAGTAATTTATTTTTTCTTTTTCTAAAAGGGTATCATTTAATGAGAATTTAGAAAACTTTCCACAAGTGTTCAGTACAGATGAACAGAGTGAATAATTAACAATATAAAGCTCTACATAGGTGAGTTTGTATCCAACTCATTGTTGTGTTATCAGACCATACCAACAATAAATCAGGTTTCCCAAAAGAGTGCATAAAAGTGTTAAAGTTAACTTAAATGACCAAAAGACCCTCAAAGGCCTGTGTACACACCTTAGAAATAATTTCAATATTTAAAAAGAAAAAAAAAAAAAAAAAAAAAAAAAAAAAGAATAATTACCCAGTGATAGTGGATGGTGGGGTAGTGAATTGAATTTGAAGTTAATCATTTTCTATATATATATTTTTTACAGAATCATTGTTACATAACAACCTAAAGTTTCTACATCTATTAGGACCCAAAATAAATAAATAAAGTTTTTTACATTTATTAAGGTCCTCGAAATAGTTTAAACATGGCAAAATAAGAAGAAAACCAGATTCAGGTGACCAGTTTATCAGCATCTGACACCCCATTGTTTATATTAAACTATATCAAACATTTACACCACCAAATCATATATATGCATTGTAGCCATTCCATTTTGTATCTTCTCATGCAAGTGGTAGAGATAACATTGAGAAGATGACTACTTACCTGAAATTAATGCCGGAAAATAAGAGCAACCGGAAAGTGGGTCAGACTCGGCCTAGATAGAGAGAGAGAGATGGGAAGAGAGAGAACAAATAGCAACACTGGTGCAAGGCTTATAATAAAGGGTTGATGAGGTTGGACATGGAAAGTTTCGTTGGCTTTTCCTCAGTAGATAGGGGTGTGCTTTTGAGTGGAGGAAAATAGTTTTTGATCTCTGTATAAGGTCACCAAGAGAAAGGCCATAATAACAATAAGATAAGGTTTTCCTTTCTCTCTCTACCAATGTCTTCAACACAGAGACAAGGATTTCTATATGATTATTGTGCAGGCTTTACAATGATGATTTCAAAGCTGATTTATAATAATATTTTAAAGGTGAAGAAAAGAGCACGTGTTAGGTGGATTTTTGCTTTGTTGTCCCTCTAATTATGGATACAACAATCTACTCCCTCCAACAGTTTAATTTTAATTTTAATTTTATTATTATTATTTAAAAAAAAAAAAAAAAACTCACACAATTATTTGTCTTAGATAAACTCCAACCCTCAACTTCAAAATTCAACATTGACTTTTTATTTTACTTTTACCCATATACACATTAATTTATTAATTAATTTTTATAATGATAAAACAACTTAAAAAGAACCAAAATTATGAAAAAGAAGAATACATTTTCTCATGAAATATTTATTTGAGAAAAAATTTATTTAACACACATATATGAATTTGTTTGACATCCGAGTTATTCATGTCAACTTCCTATTTAAAAAAAACCTAATTGAACTAGATTTTAGATGCATTGCTATTTATAATATTTTTACTTGACTTAATTTTTTTATTCGTATAATCAGTTTTATCTCGCAGTAGATAACAAATGAAAAGAAAGAAGCATGGAGAAAATTGATGTTATTCTGGATAGATTTGTTTGTAACTTCATAAAATAAAAAATGATAATTACATGAAAAGTAATAACACAAGTGTTCTTACTGAGTCAAAGGGGTTAATCTAAAATATGTAAGCACTAGTGTCAAAATCTTGAAAACAAAAACAATTAAAATTAAAATGAGATCATTTTAAATTTTAAATGATGCTGATGTTTAATCTAACTTAATGAATGCATTGACAGGGTGATTGTGCCGCGATATATGTATGACATTGACAACTGGGCTCCTTTACCAAAAGTTCAACGATTAGTTGTTGAAGACAATGACTACTTGGCAACTTTTGGGACCCCTGAGGTAGATAAGAGGTGGTAAACAGAGGTGCACATGTACAATTCTTTCTTTTAGCCATTGATCTAAAATCTGTCGGTTGACATTTTAAAAAAAAATTTATTACAATTTAATGTTCAGAATTTTTTTTTTTTGAAAAGAAAGTTGAGAACCATGTACCTACTACTCACAAAGTGTGGTATAATTAAATGTATCAATTTTATATTAAATATTTTTTTTTTATTGCATAGCTAATTGTATGATTGGGATCATATGACTACGAATTATTTAATAATTTTTCGAATGATGAGATTTTTATAAATCTGATACAATTATTGTTGAAAAGAAAAATGACTATCAAAAAAGAGAAAAAAAAATTAATAAAACTTTATTGCAATTCACAAGTTTTAAAGTTTTCATTATATTTTTTTAAAATTTTCACCAAATTATTGTCATTAAAAAATATTAAAAAATTTTGTGTGAGTATATTTTTTATTAATAAAAATTGGTTATTTTGATTTAATTATTTAATATTATTTTTAAAAATTTGAATTAAAAAATAATAATTATTACAACGATTTGTTACAATAAATTATCAGACCTAAAAATTTTTAATTAGTATATTTAGGCGGCAAATTAAAAAGTGAGTTCTCCACTGTATAAATAACCCATCATAAACTTTTGATTAGGTAATTAAGGGCTGCAAATCGATGCAACTATCCCTATTTAAAAATAATAATAATAAAGTACTGTAGAAAAGCAATTCTCTAAACCCTTCGCGGGGCTCGTAAAACCCTCTGGTTCTATCTTAATTTGGTCTCTCATGGATCAATTCCATGGCTTACCGTCTGCAATCAGAATTCGCAGTCCAAACCACATTCCATCGCTCGTCTCTCCGATCTACTCCTGCAGTTTAGCACAAAATTGGAACCCATTCCTCCTTTCAGATTCACTGTTTGGAAATGCAAGAGCCTTGGACTTCGATCCCTCGTGAATGTGAGTTTCAAGCAAATCAGCAACTTTGACATTTTTTCTATGTAATTCGGTCATCAATTGTATATAGTCCCATGATTTTGTTGTTAATTGATGATGTTATTGATTTTATTTTTCTCGCCTAAAAAATCATTCTTCATTTCATCACCTGAGAGTTCACTCTTGTTAATTGCTCACTCAAGCTTTGAGATGTTAGTTGATTGTTTTTGCTCATGACTCTAATCCATGACTGAAGTTTTTGATTAATTGGGAAGTCTTTGCATTAATAAAGTATGTGCATTTTTTTAAAACTTTCTTAGTAACTAAATTAATGGAAATGTGCTACTTCTATAATTCAATAGTTTTTTTTTTTCCTGATTATATAGGTAATTATTTTATGGTGGATTGAGAGATTAATAAAATTTAATCTGGATATATCTAACTTTTACGATGCTATTCGCACTTGCAAATGCATTTATTTTCACTTAATATTCATGTTATGATTTTGGTTGGGGGGTGGGGGAGAGAATTCTTTCTGGGGTTTGCACATTCTTTTAGGTGGTTGTCAGATACCCCCGGCATAATTTCTTCTTTTGATACGTTCTGCACGAAATTTGAACACACAAGATAGTGGTGAACTATGGAAACAAATCCATGACATATGAATTGATAGAAAATGAGGTGTATTAACCATTTAGCATACCTAAACCTGAAATTTTTAATAAGAAATCATATTGATTAATAATTTAATATTGAATGGTATCTGCAACATCGGGTTTGATGTACAGACAAAGCTGAATGACCTGAAGAGCAGATGCTTAAATTAGTATGGGGTTAATGACTTTGATGTTAGTTTTCTATTTAGGATGTCTTCATTCTCTTATTCTTTGTTGTGTATAATGAATATCTTTTTCAATTTGAAACTCCTAATTCATGCTAAGTTTGCTTTTTCAAGGCTTTATATATTCAAACTTTTGGTCCCATCCAAGCCCAACTCTAAAAATGAAGTCTCAAGGCTTCCACATAAACTTCCAGTTTCAGAGGCTACCATATTTCATTCTTTCTATTGATGTTTTCAATGTTATGCAATTATATTAGTTTTAAACTCAGAGTTAGATTGGGGAGGGGAGAATCTCAGAGTTTGCTGTTGATTACTAGTTTAACAGAGTGAAGATTTCTTAAGATAAGAAGTCAGGAATTGGTGAAGGGGTATTTTTTAAGGTAATGGGCTGAGAAGCTGGCAACGGTTCTTTTAAATTATATTCGTGTCTGGTTAAATGTGGAAAGACGTAGAGAGGCCAAGATTGCCCCTTGATAGTTCATACATACGAGTGCAATTTAGTTAGCGGGGACATTTAATGGTTGGTGTTCGGGTAGTGTGTTCCCCTTTTCTGAGTTATATCTGCTCTACCATCTTAGGCCCACTATGATTCTAAGTGTATTTCAACCATTGCTAGATAAGTTACTAACTAAAAAGTTGATTTATTCGGAAGGGTGGAGAAAGAAGTTCATTTCTGAAATATGCATTCTGTTGCTAGTGCAGAACTGCTAGAGATGGTGTTGGGAACTTAAGCAATGTCAGTTGTTCATATTAGGATGTTAGAGGTTTTCTGATGCTAGCATTAATTAATTTAGTCACATTGCTTTCGTATGGTTGCGCATAATGAAATCGTTGCTTCAAATTGAATGTGTCATTCTTCTATCAGGTGGGAATAAACCTATTACTTGATCTAGCAATTATGACCATTGACAGGATGCAAATGATGAAATTACTTACTAGCTTTTCGCTTCAAATTGAGTTTGTCTTTTAATAGGAAAAATTGCAATTTCATGAGTTTAGGTTGATGAAATACAGTGGATTCAAAAATGAAATTATGACTGGCTTGACATTGTTTTAGATGACTTGTGATCACTAATGGCTTATGACATGCTGAGCCTAATCCAAGAATAACCTGGAGCCATTAGCTGTCAGGTCAAGCTTTGCCTTCTGTGGTGAACCTCAGGTTAGCACCTCCCCATCCTTATCATGTTCATTGAAATCAGCCTAGTTGCCTGGTGAAATGCCAAATTTGCTTCAATGATCAACAACTAAAGATAATGACAATATTGCAACAAAGTGTGAGATTATTTACAGATCCTCAATAGATCGATTTTTTTTTTTTTTTTCTAAATAAAATCAGTGGTATTACATAACATACTTGTACTTATTTATTACATCAAATAAAAGAATCTCCTCTAATAATTTAGGCATCTGTATTTACAAGATTATGTTATTTGTTTGCAAGATTGCTTCATTTTGGAATTTTGATTTTGCAATACTAGTACTGCATTCTGTATTTTACTCCTCTCCCAGTAACTTCATCGCAATATCAACTAGTGAGTGAATTGTTGTTCTGTGCCGGTTCAGTCCAACAATGCCAGAGAAAATATCAAAGCTTTCAAGCTCTGATGTGGTCTCTGTGACACACTCCAGCTCCTTCTCCATTCCAAGATCCTTGAAAATTTGAATGTTTGTCTCCTTATCTCTCATCATCCAAATTGCCAACTCTATGACAAACCTCCTTATTCTTGGAATCCTGATTGGTGGGCACTGATATTTTTGTAGAATCTGAACTAGTGCACTAGCTAATTCGGCCTCTTTTATTCCAGCCCTCTCGAAAACTATGCTCGACTCTTGAGATGTCATAAATTTGAAAAGATGTGCTGCAAGTCCAATCATCACTTCCTGCAACTTGTTTCCTTCTGACATGATTGCTTTAAGCACCTGTAAGGGAGAAATTTTGATATTACTATTCAAGTATGATTTAGTTTAGTTATGAAGAGAAAGCAATTCTAACTTCTGGTGATTGTTATGACATATAGAATCCTGTTATGCTATATAAAATGAAAAATTGTGACTGCAATAGAGAACTTACAGTAGGCGCCGCAGCAATGACCCCTCTTAGTTGCACAAAGCATTCTGCTCCACTGCAGGTGCACAAGTTTCTTAAAATTCTTGCTGCATTTATGCGAAGCAGTGGAACCTCCAATGCTTCAACAAGCTTTTCAGTTACCTTCAATTTCAAGATGCGATGAGAATTGCTCTTGCTTTCTAATGTCAGCATTGCTAGTGCTTCTCCAGCTGCAATTCTTACATGATTTTGAGTTTCAGGTATCACCTGTTCAAAGAAAATGTTGAACAATTCCTTAAGAATTCCACCTGTGCCGCCAATCATCTCCTTTGCATCGTCTTCCAATGCCAAACTGGTTAAGATTTCTATGCCCAGCTTCTGTAGCATTGGGCGTTTCTCTCCATACCTTAAAATGTCTCTGATGTTACTAATTGTGAAAACTACTTCCAATATCTCTCCTCGGAGCTGTTTACCGGTTGTGCCTGTTGTACTTGCCAGCATCTTCACCACCTGCAGAGAGCATTTTACCGTCATAATCTGAGATTCTGAGGCTGTTTCATCCTTCAACAACCTCTCTCCTGCATACGTAAAATCTATAATTTTTGGTAGGAGGCCCCTTGTATTTCCAATCTTCCCACAGTTATCATGATCACGGGCAAGTTTCTTCAGAATAAGAAGTCCCAAATGATTGAATGTCCAGAAAGCATAATTCTCGTGGTCACAGACTATATTCTTTTCACGGATTTCATCAGCTGCGCTGCCAGAGCTCCTATTATTATGGAGCAGAGATGATATTGATTCCATAGCGCCAGGTATTCCGGCAACCCGGAGGGAATTTTGCTTCTTACCAGCTAATTTTGACAAGATATCTGCAGCTGACTCCCTGATCTCTTGTTCTTTTTGATCTTTCCAATTCAATATCTCTATTAACCTTTCCATCACCGATAAATTTACGCCAATCTTTTGGAGGGTGTCATCAAAAAACCGGTCACTTAGTGCAAATTTTCGAAGAATCCGAGCTCCAATGAGCTGTTCATCAGGGGAATTTGAGTCCAAGAGATCCATGGCAAATGAAACCATATCCATTTTTAGGCCATCAAAAATGCTCCCGTTGACACATCTCGAATAAGCATCGTAGAAGAACCTTCTAATAGAAACCATACCTGAAGGCCCCAGCTCACACTCCTTGTTCACCTCATCCAACAATTTACAGTAGATGACATTCCACTCCCAGTAGGCTTTCTCCAAGAGAAACAACAAAGCTTCCGCCAAGGCCAAGGCATAGAAAATAGTAAGAGCAGACCTGCGGTTTCTCTTGTCAGTATCTCCTTTTGCTACTTCACCATAATTATGCTTGATGAGCTTCATTAATGAGAGAACCACACAGGCTGTCGCCGATGCAAGCTGGAGCCAGTAGAGAAGTTTACTGACATTTCTTGAGAGGAAAACCCATTGAGCATATGGCAGAAGAGGAACATCTGAACTTATCCATGCTCTAGTTGGCACCTTTCTTTGATCCCAGTTTCTGCGGCTTGCAAGGTGCGCACTCTCTGTAATATCTCTGCTGTGGCGGCTTTGCTTCCGAACTGCATCGATAGGTCGGAAAATTTTCTTTACAGCTTGAATGATGAAATGTGAGCTGGACCTTATTGCCCGGAAGCTGTTGATTCCAGCATCCGCGATTGACCACGTGGCTTGATGTTGCCATTCAAGCTCGTGGCTTCTACTGAATATTCGAGTTCCCTCAATTAAAAGAATAACGGTGATGAACCAGAAGTCTGTTTTGTCGAGAGTAATAGCAAACCCACCAAGAAGAACGACTGTTGCCCAGATGAACCCAAGAGTTCCTAGGCTGGTTGCTACTTTCTCCAATACCGCGAGCCGGAGAGCAAAGAGGGTCAGCTTCTTTTCAGGTGCTCTGACTACTGGTGATGTTGGAGAAACAGAATTTGCGTTGCTGCTGTCTCTCTTCTCAATACTGTTCTGGGGTTCAAAAATGGTTGGACCTGCACTGCCTGTTTCGCTGAGCCTTGATTTCAGCTCAACAATCTGCAAGTGGACACTTCCTTCGCCTTCTTGGTGTTGCCCAAGATCCATGGTGCTGGATTGAATTTGCTTGCTAACCAATCGGTTCTTTCAATTGAATCAGTTGTCTTTGAGATGTGTATGACAGCGTTGAGTTTTTGTTTCAAGATTCTTGCTATTTGAGCCGTGAATGTTGGAATGGGGGAGTATGTTACATATGTGGTGTATATATATATAGAGAGAGAGAGACACACACACACACGAAAATGAGCTTAGGGAGCACGTTTTCGTACTGGAAATGGGGAGGAAAGGAAATTGTTAAGTTGCTTCTCTTTCCGCCATTTTTTCAAGTTAGTTCTCTATTCTTGTTATTTGCTCAAACTTTTACTTGGGAAAGGGATTTCCTCTCTCTCTCATCGTGTTTGCCACCAGTAAGTTTCTCGATGGATGAAACAATGATTCAAAAGCCTCTTTTCCCGATAACAAAAGGCAAATAAAGCATTCCTCTTTAGTTATGCCTTTTAATTCTCTTTTCAGAGTTTGAACAAACCCATATAGAAATGAGAAATGACTGCGTTACCCTTCTAGAAGTCTTTATCTAATTTAAAATGTATGGATGATGTGAAGGTTAATTTAGATATTTTACTTGGAAACTTCCTTGATATTTTATATAATTATGCTTTGTTAGTTGGTATCATTGACCGTTACCTAAATATCATTCTTCTCAGGAAAGCAAGTTAGCATGATCTTGGACTTGGTTAACATTGAAGTTGTTAACCTTTTTTTTTTTTTTTTTTTTTCTTTTTTTCTGAAAAATAATTTCTCTTGACTTATTCGTCATGTTGTGGGGGCAATTGTTTGTCAGTATGATAATAAATGTCGTTTAATGAGCAAATTGGGCGATTTATGATTATTGTGGCTTGCACGGTTTACTCACAGGTAGAGTCTTCTTGTGTTAAGCTAAAGGCTGCTGTATATTGATATGGTCCCCAAGTCTTCATCATCATTCCTTTGGGTGTACGTATATTCTTCTGACTGTGACATAATAAGGACCAAACATATATATACATATATACATGTAATTTTGGTCATTGCACGTTGAATTAACGGTTGATTTGGTATTAGATCTTCTTTGATTATATAGTAATTTTATTGTATTTTTAAAAAGCAACTTGTATTAATATAGTTCACAGTTGTAAAATAGTGGCGTATGCATGGATTGATTCGTCGTACGGACTATTAATGTGATCGCAATGGTTTATTATAAAGATGCTCGGTGGACCATAATAATTCTATACCACAAAATATAATGAATGTCATCCATAATTCATGCGAAAGTTCAACGAAGCACTGGTCCTTGGAGCTGGAGCTTGAAAGAGACCCAATTCCAATCTTATCTTAGCAGAAATGTCTAATTAAAAAACTTTCGTTTTTTCTTTATTTATTTTTATTTATGGGTGGGTAACAAGAAGTGAATTTTATCCCGTGCAGAGCATGCTATGCACATGTAAATGATAGAGATCATTTCATGTGAAGTGTGATGAAACCCCCCCACAAATATGAACATTCACCTTTTTCTTCTTCTGTGCACGAGAGAGTGTTCGTAGTATCGGTCACGGTTGTGGTTGCAGTGTAACAGACTTAGACAGTTAGTGTAAACTAATTGTTACGGGTCGCGTATCGGAACCAGTTAGTGTAAATTAACTGTTACGGGTCGCGTATCAGACTTAAAAAAACGTCGCGTATCGAATCATACCAAATCTAACAAAACAAATCATTTCTATTTGCGGGTGTGATGAAGCACTCAAACCACTTAGACGGTGAAGCACTCAACAAAAAAAAAAAATTTTAAAAAGCAAGCGAGACAAACAATTGATGATTAAAATGCAGTGGAATTAAAGTGGATAATGTAAAATATTTAGTTTAAGCTAGTATTTGAATCTGAAAAGGAGTTGGATCTAATTAATATAACCTTCAACCTTTATTTTCACTCGCATGTTTCCAACAAATTTTCCTATAAAAAATTTCCTCCTCCTTGGTCCAAAAAGAAGGTAAAAAATACAAGACAGAATATATATATCCCTCAACTGAAAAGAAAAGGAATCTGCCCACTAATTTCATGAGAACCACGTTAGAGATTCCAAAGTTCATATATAAGACATGCCAGCCACCTAATTTAACTTCAATGTGTAAAAATATTCTCAATACAATAAAGAATTATCACCTCACTTTCTCAACAATCACAAAAGCCACTCATCTTTGGGTAAAGAGGACACGACCACAAAGAATGCATTGCTATAAAATATACATATGGATAAAACAAAATGAAGCAAACTGAAACAAAATGAAGCTATAGCTGTGGAATCCCACGGCACAAGTCATAGTGACACATTAGACTGAACCTAAAATACCTTTAAAACTTGTGCGGGTTTCACACACTTTTTTTCCCGTGGATAGTTAAACCGTCCAACTTCTATTTTAGAGGTGAGGCGGTATCACTAAGCTACACGGCCCTCGGTAAAAACTTGTGGAGGTGAAAAATGGATTTTCCTCTCTTGATAAGATCCCGATCTAAGTTGTCTTTCCTTTCCCAACCTGAGTTTTTCAAACCATGCAACAATTCTTTATCCCGATAACTAACATTGACAAGTAAAATTTCCATTCTATCTATAAAATTAAATTTTGTTTCCATCATCCAAACATATACTGCAATTTCCAAAAGATATTGATGAATGGTTCACTCAGTGTACAAATTTTAACAAATGTCTATCTACTACATCCAAAATTGAAAAAACTCTCTAGTAAAAGAACTGGATAAAACAATAGCATAATGTATGTCTTCACATGTTCTGCTTCTGATGATTCTGGCAGTGACAGAACTTCCATCATAAGCATAAAGTAAATATACATGTACCTAGTACTACCCATTAGTAGTTAACACTAAATGGCGAAGGTTACGATTTGTGCAGCAACTTGAACACAGCGCTCATCCTATGATGATCATCTCCTACAAGAAGAAAGGATACGAAGAATTAATCATATATGTAATCAGGTAATTCAGTTCAAAATGCAGATTCAATAAAATTGTCATTTACTTCTTTAAGCAAGCCCGTTCTTATGGCCATAAAAGCAGAAATTAAGGCATCAAAAACACAACCTAGGAAACTGAAGGCCGATGGGTAAGTTTCTTGAGTGAGTATGACAAGGATGTATGTGATATACCATCTTTACAAATGAAAATTTACTGAAACAAATAATAAGCAAAATAGTGTTGGACCAAATGTAAGGCCAGCAGGCAGACACTGCAAACCTGCTTGTATAGAACAGTCAATATAAGGTCCACTGGATCCAGTTGTCAACCAAACAAGATTCTAGCTGAATACAGCAACAACTTATATGTATGTCACCAAAAGCTGATATCAGCCACCAAAGTAGATGGCTCTTCTGCATTGAGATCATATGTAAATCTAAGAGAGCTATTCACTTGAAAATGCCTTGGATTAGGCGGACATGACCAGCAAAACCCTCAGCCCAGAAATAAAATGATGAAAATTATTTAGGTTTAAGTCCATAAAATTAATTAAATATGTATGAAGTAATAACTAGAAGCATGTTCAATAGAAAATAATAAATATAATACACATGGAGTATTCTCAGCATGTTCGAGGTTTCTGAATATATAAGCAAGTTAGAAATGTGTTTCCCCATACCTACATCGAAGGTAAACAAGCTCCTGATATTATTTAGAATCTCCAATATTCTTTTGGTAATTATGGTACATGTCCATCCAAGCAGGATTTAGAACATGCACCCTCCCTCTCTGGGTGTGGCAGGAATACAACTAGACTAAACATCAGGTAATTTAGCTAATTTAGAACACTTTGTCAAAGAGAAAGTATAGTAAAATTGCTTTCTCCACAAGGCCATTTGAAGATTTGCTTCCATGATTTCTTAAGTGGATTTGTGCCAGGTTGCAAAATATCAAGAAAGTTATATATGGTCAAATGTGCATCTAAAGAAGTTCAGTCAGGGACAATGAAGGCTGAACATGAGTTCAAAGAAGTTTGGTCAGAAGATTTCCGTGCAAGTCAAAATTACTATTGACTATTGAACAAATTAGGATAAGAGAAAAATCAGGTATTCACTGTAGTAAATCAAATTTAGTTCAAGTCCAAATAGGAACATGGGTGCTCTTATCCTCGGCAATTTTGTTGACCATGTAGAATGTGAGAATTGCAGAGAAGAAAAAGTCTGAAATCTAAGATAGGCCTGGAAACCTCATGGGTTGTAAGAGTGCACAATAAAAACTCAACAGGTCAACCACCTGCATCATCATCATCATCATCATCTCATGGGTTGTAAGAGTGCATAATAAATACTAAACAGGTCAACCAACAGCATCATCATTATCATCCTTGGCTTAATCCCATATCAATGGGGTTGGTCACACGAATTCTCTCTCTCCAAGCTTTTCTATTAAATGCCAATTCACCTACCATATTTAACCTTTTAAAATCATTTTGAAGAACCTCATCCCATATTATTTTTGGCCGCCCTCTCCATCTCTTACCTTTTATTACCACTAGTTTTCCTCGTTTGACCGGAGCGTCACTAGATCTCCGATGTATATATCCAAACCATCTAAGTTTACTCTATCGAATTTTCTCACTAATGGGTGCTACACCCAATTTTCCTCTCACACTTTCAGGTCATCCAACTGCAACTATGGCCTAAAAACCTCAGATGGGCCTTTACACAGTGGCTCTAACAGCCAAACATTACTAAATAACAAAAGATCGTATTAGCTTCTGTATGAGCTGCCCAACAATGTAATGATATACATATATCCAACCACAAAATAATAATCAATTGAAAAACAGAATATCTGATTGTTCAATAATGACTCTAGTGAATAAGAGTTTATCAATAAAGTCTTAGACAGACCACAAGACAGTGAATATGAAAGAAGCACCACCTCCTTATTACTAGGTTAGTCTTGCATATCATCAAGAGACTGATTGTCCAGATATGTTGAAGACTCAAATTGATCTTCAAGTTTGAGCAATGAGTAGGACAAATATATAACTGAAAGCAGCCCATATGATTCAAATAGGAAGCAACCATAATTTCCAAGGGTTTGTCTAATCCAATAAAATTGCACCAGGTTCATGACCGATTTGCAGGATGTAACTTCCAGTTGATGCGGGATATTAATGCTCCCCTATCAAAATATCGGGTTATTTAAGATGAGAAAGAACAAAAAGCCCCTCAGCCAAAGAACAAAGTGATCCAGGCATATTGTCACAGAAAAACTAATAAAATCTTCAATCAGTTTGAGATAGGCTATCAAGAAAAATGAAAATCAGAGTTTGGAAAGGGCATAGGAAATTTAGCAAGGATTAGGTTCTGCAAAAACAAAATTCCAGCCAAAAAAAAGATAAAAATGTAGTTCCCTCTTTGACCACTTGACCTATGTTGTTAGCACAGGCAGCTTCTGCTTTAACTGCCCGTGCCATTCCATCTTCTGAGATCTACAACTTCATGCTTCCAGCTGCTTTGGGATGAAGTTTAAAGGAAGGACGGCCGGCAAGTTAGAAAAACTTCAACACATCAAGAAGCACTTTGTCTATCTAATTAGAAATGAGAAAGCAGTAAAAGCAGTGCCATGGAGAAAAAGATGTCGGCATCCCATTATATGATGTTTGAACTATTACTTCATTGAAGACATTGTTAAGTTTATAGGAGAACTTACTCATTCTAATATGGATTGTCACAATGTCACTGTAACCAACTTCAATAGAAACAAGTTCACAATTCCACAAAAGTAACAGAATTTCCCTTGGCCACTAGAATAAATTCTCATAGATCATTCTAAACAACCTGATAATGTATAAAGTTGAATAGGGCACAATATATATTTTTGATAAGTAATAGCCTAATAGGCCACAATATATATCCTCCTCTGTCAATTAGGAAAAGGTAAATACGAGACTAATACAATGGAATATGACTATTAACAAGAAGAAACAGGACATTTTGACAACCTAGAAAGTGTAGAATGACGAAGGAATTTTTTTAACTAACCTCGCAATGATGCGTAAGGCAATTTTTATCAATAAGAATTAAATTAGGTAGTTCTTAGATTTTTCGAATAATTCATATCGAATAACTTTCAATAATCAAAACATAAGTCAAAACTTGAAAGTAGAGAACTAAGAAAGCATCAGCAGATATCAAGCTTAATATCAAAATGATGAATGCAATATGTTGCAAACTTGCAACAAATAAAATCAAGCTCATGTCAACTTAGTGTCTACATTTTGTAGGGGAAATTAAATATGGCCTTAACTAGACCTGAAGGGGAAAAAAAAAAAAATGTGTCCGTGGATGACAAGAGACTAGGATGCTGCTTTCTTGAGTTAAGCTGTACTGAGTGCCTATTGACATCAGAGGAGTAACTACTTGGGATGATCCAAAGGGCAGTGTGTATTAGCCATGACACAACATATCACACTATATGGACAATCCTAGCTTTTCTCTATATTTGAGTTCTTGCTACTGGCAACTCCTAATCCCGTTAAACCTCCAGCACCATTGAATTTAAATTAATCGAATAAACGTGCTCTAATGTACAGCTCTTCACATTCATAGATAAAACAAGATATGGCATTGTTCTGTAACCAATCTAATCACACAAACTATATGGAAATGTCATTGAATTTGTATATTGCATAAATGTGTTGTTATTGAATTCCATAAACATTAGACCAACCTCATCAATAGAAACAACATCATATTACCTATATCAAGGGATTCCTTTGGCACACTTTAGCTTTCTCCACATCAATAATGGACTCCACCAATTTAACTGAATTCTCTAGCTTCCCCTCAGCATTCACCACTGCATAATCAAAATCATTGAGATGCCTCACCTCCTCACGAGCCGTGGCAATCCTCACTAAAAGTGTCTCCTTAGTCTCCGTCCTCCTATCAATCAACCGCTTCACAAGGGCCGATTCACTCTCTGCCACAAGAAAGATGAACACAGCAGAATTGCCAAGAATCTTTCTCAATGTGGCAGCTCCTTGTATGTCCACCCTCAACACAATGTCATGCCCTTTCCCCATGTATTCGCGAATTTGCTGCTTCGGAATCCCTTTGTAATCCCCATACACCAATGCATACTCCAAAAGCTCATCCCTCTCAACCATTGATAGGAACTCCTCTTTACTGACAAAGAAGTAATCTTTTCCATCCACTTCACCGACCCGTTTTGCCCGGCTTGTCGCGGTGACCACGAAATGAATGCCCTCCCGAACTTCCCTCAATCGTTTGATCACAGCGTCTTTGCCCACCCCACTTGGGCCACTGATGACAATGATCAAAGGGTTTGGATTCGGCACCAATGGGTCCGAACTGAACTGCGAACCCAGTGAAGCTTCGAGTGCGCGATACAGTTCGGCCCCATTGGCTGTGTCGACGACCGGAATGGGAACGGCGCGTGGTCTACGAGCATCCCCCATTTTGCTATTGGACGAAAGGAATCGATGGGTCACAAAGTTCGATCTTTGTGACCTCGATTTGAAGTAGCTTAGGTTCAGAAATTGAGCTTTGGAGTTGAAAACTGGAAATGGGTTGGGAAATTTTCTATGGAGAAGAGAAGGGTTGAGGTCGAATTGGGTAAAAGCGGTACAGAGCCTTCGCAAGAACATCGAAATTAGATAAGGTAGGAGAACCTCCAAATAACCCTAATTTGAAGAATAATCGGAAAAACCGAAGATAAAAATCAAAAAAAAATAAAAAAACTGAATATTGTAGAGATTAGGTATCACGCCACTATATAGATTCAGATCTTATTGTTGGTGCTAAAAAAGTCGATATTTTTGCCGCCAATCTGTCGGAAGTTTAGACTATAGTTTTTATCGTCTGCTGACTGGTGCTGTTGAATATGAGTTTGGGTGCTATTAGAGAATTAGACCAAATCCTGTTAGAGGCTTTAGACCCAATGCATTTGGGGTATTTTAGTTTAGGCAAGGGCATCTTTAGGAGAGAGGAGAACATCTATTTATTTTTTTATTTTTATTTTTTTAATTTATTAAAGTAAGTGTATCAACCCTCACAATATACCCATCATTCAAATTAGCGCGTGGTTTCAAAGTAAAATCTCAAGAATTTACTTCCTAAATCTCTGTCAAAGCCGGGTCCAGGAATAGTTAGTAGAAATTCTTTTTTCCTTTTTTTTTTCTTTTTTTTTTTTTCTGAGTAACTTTTTTACTAATTTATCTTTTAATTGCAATAACGTTTATGTTGGAGCAATGCTAATGCTACCCCAATCCAACAAATTAATTTTGAGTCTGATTAAAAAAAATAATCTTTGAGATATTATTAAATAGTTTTGAATCATTTGACATAGACCAATTAATTGATCTTTTAATGAGTGATAGGAACAACTTTTTAATCGCAATAATTTTTATGTTGGAGCAGTGCTACTGTTACCCCGATCCAAGAGTAGCAACGAATTAATTTTGAGTCTGATTAAAAAAATAAGTATTTGAAAAATTATTAAATAATTTTGAACCATTTGACATGAACCAATTAATTTAAACTCCAAGAGTATATTAAAATATTAAAAAAAAAAAAATCTAAACTAATTATCTGAATTTTACTAATTCATTAAATAGTAAATAATTCAAAATTATTTAATAATTCTTTCGTTGAGTTTTTACCCTTACTCCCACCTTGTAGGACAAATTTTACCGCTCTCTCACTCAATACCGCCACCAGTTGCTTATTTTACAAAATTTAGAACATGCCACAATGTAAGAATTTTGTGAGGTTGACAAAAAAATCTTAGAAGTATAATGTATTGTAAATACGGAGTTTTACTATTAATTACGGAGTAATATGTTCAATAAGCAACTTTAAATTGGTATAGCTAGAAAACCAAAAAATCTCTTTTATTTTAATAATAATAAAAAAATCTCTTTTATATAGTCGTCTCTCTCCCTCTCTCTCTCTCTCGCTCATAAAAATAAAACAAAACCTAAGAACTTCATTCAATATAAATTCTCTCAGAACCCCGCATCGATAACCCAAACCTTTAAATCCCCTCTAATTGCTGATTTAAAACCCTATTACCAAAACCCTGACGTCGGTTCCGTTCTCCATTTCTCCCACAAACCCTAATTTTCAACATACCCAACTCGATTCTTCAACCCCTCCAATTTCAAATCTTGAAAAATTAAAGAATTGTAGTTTCAGACATTTGATGGGCACGTTTAGGTCCAAAGAAATTCCCCATCCCTCATCTTCACCACCATCATCTCCCTCCTCCTCGTCCATTTCTCGCACCCAGACCGTAAATGGGTCTCACGAATTCAAGATAACCGGCTATTCTCTATCGAAGGGTATAGGCATTGGCAAGTGCATGTCTTCGGACACTTTCATGGTTGGTGGGCACTTGTGGGCTATCTATTTCTATCCAGACGGTAAGAGCGTTGAAGACAACACGACGTATGTTTCACTGTTCATAGCTCTCGCGAGCGAGGCCACCAACGTCAGGGCTTTGTTCGAATTGTCCCTTCTGGATCAGAGTGGGAAGGGACGCCACAGAGTACATAGCCATTTTGCTCGGACGATCGAGAGCGTTCCGTACGCTCTGAAACACCGTGGTTGCATGTGGTGAGTTCACTATAATTGTGTTTATATTGAGTTTAATCTTGGGTTATTTTATGTGTTTTTAAATTCAGCTGTTTGCTTTTGAGCAATTTGTATAAATTACAAAATAATTTTGCTTTTAGGGTTTGTTTAGATTGTAGGAAATTAGGAATTGGTGGGTTGCTTTGGGTTGTGTAACATGCAGTGGGACATGTATAATGTATTATCCTCTGGAAAACAGCTCGGCACAAGTTAGCTTGAATGGCGATAGTAAATTTTTTGTTTTCTGATAAACGCCATTGATATACATATAGTTATAGGTATACATAGCAAAGACAATAGTTACTTCTCTACCAGCTATATGCCTCTCTTACAAACTGTTATCCACTAAAAGTTTTGGTATTATGGATAGTTGTTATTGGTATTGAGTTTTTAACTACTATCTGACTTGGACAAAAATGAGAATATGACTTTAAACATACCCGGTGGAGAGAAAGGAATTATGAAGCTACCTCCAAAGAACTGGGATCAAGGCTTTATTGAGATGGTCAAGAAAGCACCTCACCTTATACTATGGTTTTATGTGTAATGGGTTTGCCACTTTTGCGTCAACTTCCATACATTTCTAAGTTTTAACTAAAATTTCACATGGTTCCAAACTTTTTCCTATTTTTCTTTTAAGTATATTCAGTTTCAACTTTATGTATGAATTTATTGTTTCTAATCCCAAAAAGTTTGTTACAACTCAATGATAAACAAAGCGCTAACCACTGGGCCATTAGTTCAGCTAGTATAATCTCTCTTCCTTCAAAAGGGAGGTGAGGAGTTCGAACCTCATAGTGGGCATTATGTGGGTGTGTGAGTATTTACTTGACAAAAAAATAAATTAAATTAAAAAAAGCTCTAAAATCCCAGTTAAATTGGATACCATCTAGATTCAAAATTTTATATCTTCTATGGTGTGTTTTTTATTTATTTATTATAAGAGTTTTTTTTTTTTTTTTGATAAGTATAATCTCTCCTCCTTCAAAGGGGAGCGGAATCCCAAGAAACACAAGGGCCAAAGGCACCTCAAACCTTCAAAGAGGCCAAAAAAACAAAAATCTCTTCGAAAGATCTAGAATCTCTCCCTGAGACCCAACAAAAAAGGGTGGAAATAATAAAGAACTTGAGCATAGAAACAGGTTTCTCCTTTCCCTCAAAATATCTCCGATTTCTCTCAAGCCAAATGCACCACCAAATACAAGCATCCCGCACAAGAGCCCCAACAGAAACACCTCTCCAAGCCTCAATCAACCCTCTAGAGGAACGTGGCATAACCCACTGAACCCCAAAGAAATCAGCTTTTTAAGAGTTGATTTCTACCTTTTGTTATTTTTCCCCAATATTGAAAGTCAATCTACCCCAAATAGTTTGGAAAGGGCTTTTTTGTTTGTTTGTTGCTGTTGTATGTATTTTTATTTGGCATAAGGTTAATGTCTTGAGCCAAATTCTGCATTTTTTTTCTTTCTTTTTGTGAATACTACTACAAATTTTTCTGCTTGCTAAATAGATCACCAATTTCTCTTAACTTTAAATTCTATAAATTTCTTTACTTTTTTGTTAATTCAAAGTTTTATCGTTCACTTGTAGTTATACTCTTTTCAAGGCCCAACATGAATTGCAATAATGCGGTTTTATAGTTCTCTATTTGGAAAAAGAGTGTTTTTTTTTTTTTTAAGGGTGGGTGGGTGGGGCAGACTTGAAGCAGCGAATGGTCTATAATGAAAGTGTGAAGTTATAATTGTCAATTTGGTGGCTTTAATCCAGTATAACTACTTGGATAATTTTTACAGTAACATAGTATCTTATAACCCAGTATAACTACTTGGGTAAGTTTATATTCTCAATACACCTCAAATTGATGGTTTTGAAACCATTGTCAAGTGCTGCAGATTATCTAGAGTGATGGCACATGCAATGCACGCTTAATATTAGTGGTGTGTGAAATACTCATCTACAGAAACTGGCCTAGTGGTCTTTTAGACAATGGTCTGTGGTATGGGGCATGTGGCATGAAATACTTAATTCAATTGGGTAAAATTTTAGTATTGGCTTTTTGCTTTAAAAAACAACTTTGCAAACCTGGAGGCAATATCCTTATTGAGTGCATTATGCTTTGTGGTCTAGAGAAAGAGGCTTCATGATTATATTGACTTATGATCGTCATCCCTAAACTGCTACCTAATTTGAGCAGTAGCAATTTCTGCAACCTAACAAAAAGAAGAGAAAAAAAGAAAATAAAAGATGGATGATTATTTTGTATTCAATCCCATGTTCTGTAAGAAGGTTTGCTTCTTTAATATACTAATATAGATCAACTTATCAAAAAAAAAATACTAATATAGATCACATTGTTATCAACTATATTATTTCATTTCCTCTCTGAAGTTTTCATATGCTCCATAATGATTGGTGGTTTTCTTATTATGGGTGACGCAGACAATAATTGGTGAATCCATTGGACATTTTTTTTTTTTTTTTGATAAGTGAATCCATTGGACATTGTAGGGGTTTTAAACGCTTTATCAAGAGAACTGCTCTAGAAACATCAGACTTCCTTAAAGATGATTGTCTTTTGATCAACTGCACTGTCGGTGTTGTTAAGTCACATACTGAGAGACCTAAGGTGCACAGCATACCGTTGCCACCTTCTAATATTGGTCAGCATTTGGGGCAGCTCTTAAAAAGTGGAGAGGGAGCTGATGTAAATTTTGAAGTGGATGGAGAATTTTTTGCTGCCCACAAGTTGGTGCTTGCAGCACGCTCTCCAGTGTTTAAGGCACAACTTTTTGGTCCAATGAAGGACCGTGATAGTCAATGCATTGAAGTTAAAGAAATGAAGGGACCAGCTTTTAAGGTTCTTGAATCGCTTCCCTTTTTTCCATTATCTTTCTGGGGTCTGTTAGTATGTTCTTTTATGTCTTTTTAGTTTGTACTAGTTAACATTTATCAACAAAAAAGAAGTTTGCACTAGTTAACATTTATATGAACTCCGGTAGATCCATGATATTCATTATAAATTATAATATATTGGCTTAAACAACAACGTGAACACCATTACAGGAATAACATATGCTGAACATTTTATAATTAATGGTTTTACCTGGATTTATTGAATTTCTTTCATTTTTCTGATTCCGGCATTGACTTTTTAAAATAGAATAATGATATTTTCATGATGAAACTTGCCAAACTGAGGGACCTAGTATTTCAAGGCTCGGTCTCCACCGTTGTGGAGATACAAGACAACCGTCAAAATTCACAAAGGCCATTATTTCTACCCTCTTAAGTGGGAATAACAAAATGAAAGATACATTCCTTAATTTTGAACACCTGCAGCATCTCACAGTTCTAAACTCCACTCAATACTTTCCTCAAACCAAATGGATTAATTTGCTTTCCATGAAGATCTTACTAACCAGGCCATGTTCGCAAAATTCCTTCCCATGTCGAGTATCCGCATCCTCAACAATCACACCTTCGTCTTCTGTCTCAGATAATTTGAAAGATTGCAGTTGTATAGTGCCAGTGGGGTTATGCCCTCGCTTATCATGATGTACTGATGCTTATCATTTTCAATGAAATCAATTCATTTATGAAGAAATAAAAAAATAAAAATAAAAAAACAAGTACCTCATCCATAATCACTGTCTAGACAGACATTGAAGAGAAAAAATAAGTGAAGCCAAAAGATCCCCAAAGTCACATATAAAGGAGAGACTGTCTAGCACTAGCCAACGGAAGGCGTTAGCGAAGGGAAGGTTTTCAAGTAGCTTTGATGGTTGGTTACCATTGTTTGTTGAGTAATATTGTTGTTTTACCCTATGAAACCTGGACTCGCTACTTTACTATACGCGGGTGCAGGACATGGCTGGTCATCTAAAGTGGAGAAGAAGTGAAAGTGGAAAGGGAAGGTGGAAACACTAACCATTTCACACGATTCATCTTCGAAGGTTTTCTACTTGAAGCTCATCTCTGTTGGAGTCAGAAAAGGTCGTTGAAACGATTTGTTGGATGTTTTCCAGTCGCTGATTGGGCTGCTCCGTTTTTGTTTTTGTGAAGACATGAACCAGCAGCACAATCCAAAGTGAAGATGCCCTACTTCGTTTTTCTTATAACTTCAAAAGTTATAATTGTTGTTTTACCCCAAATCTTCCGGTAATTTCAGAATTACCTCGATGATAAACTTATTCTTTGAACTTCCCAGTATTTTTTTCAATTTTACCCTTCTCTTAGTTTATCTTTTTAAACACTTTATAACGAGTTTTCAGGAACTCTTTGGCACGTTATACATGTCCACATATTCCAGTTTTTGTGGATTAAAAGTATAAATCAATTTTACCCTCCTCTTTGTTTATCGATTTAAATACTTTATAACAAGTTTTCAGGGATTCTTTGGCACGTTATCTGTGTCCACATATTCCAGTTTTTGTGGATTAAGGGTATCTCACTCCTAGACAAGCACCTGTAAGCTGTATCCGACGCTCATACCCGAGTTTGGGTAACATAGATTGTACCTGGTGGTTATATGTGTTTGTATTAGATATACACCTTGACGACTCTTCTAAACCACTGCTCTTGTACTAAATCGTGCTCACTTCAGCAAAGGTCTTCCCGTGTCTTTATTCTTTTCCTAATTGTGGTGCTACAATCATGACTTGTCCACACAATCAATTTGGTGTATTTTTTTTCCTTGGGTAATTGGAAAAATTTATAAATAAGACATTAAAGTACAATTACAACAGAGGCATCCCTCTGGAAGTAACAAAGCCTAGACATTGGCAATCCCAAAACAAGCCTAACAAAGGCAACCCAGCAAAACCATACCCTGATGCAAAGGAAAAACAAAGACAATCTGGTGTTGTTTACTTTGTATTGTAAATGGAACTTCCCGACAGTGTGTGAACTGATATGGTTCAGAGTTTCTGCAAGTACAATTTCATGGTCCATTCAGTTTAAAATTATAACAAACTTGCAAATATAATTCCACCGTTCATTCAGTTTAAAATTATATAAAGCTTTACTAATTGTGTCTGCATCAATCAACTTGTTCACTAAAATAGAGGAATCAATCTGTTTTCTTCTGTGACAAAACTTATGATATTCTGAAATTGTTCATTTATTTTCTTATCTTTTCTTTCTCATTGGAAGAACTAATTGTTTCGCTTGTATTTATAGATTTTCCCTGGAATGCATGGTTGTTGTAAGTGTGTGTACACTTCATCCTTGAGTGTACTGTAGCTCCATTCACATCGTGAATTTGAGTTGCAATGAAGAAAAGATTGTCATCGGTTTGAACTGAAAAGACACCTGATTATGCTTATTTTAATTTCACTCGTATCTGCTTATATTCACCAATGATGATTGATGACACATGCTATATATATTATTTTACTGTAGTGTTTTTTTTATTTTTATTTTTTTTTTAATCCTTTTCCCGGAAGGTTATTTTACTATGATGTTGCTTTGTCCTTTGAAGCAATTTTTTTTCAGGCTTCAAATCCACAGGGTTTTCATAAGATCCATTTGACCACTTGAATGTAAATTGTTAATTTCTCTTTTTGGTTGGATATCTGCAGGCACTACTACATTTTATATACTGGGATGCCCTGCCTGACATGCAAGAGCTTTCAGGTTTGATTTCAAAACAGGATTCTACGCTAATGGCTCAACATCTGCTTGCAGCAGCAGACCGATTTGGACTCGATAGACTTAGAACTCTCTGCGAGTCTAAATTATGTGAGGATGTTACCATTAACACTGTAGTGACAACTTTAGCTTTGGCAGAGCAGCTTCATTGCTTCCAACTGAAAGCTGTGTGTCTCAAATTCATGGCGTTGCCAGAAAATTTGAAAGGTAAAATTGTCAATAACTTTCTATTTGTTTGATTTTTGTATCTTGTTAGGAAAGTTCTACTAGCAAACAGTTACTTGAATTGTTGGGAAGAAGCACCTATGCAAGGTACTACTGAGACAACATAGGTTGGAAGCAACTTGGAATAAATTTCCTTGATTTTACTTTCAGATATTATCTGAAAATGTATTCTTCTACATCATCAGTGTCACATATTTTTCCTGAACATGCTGGCCTTCAGAATAATTTTTATTCATGTTGTGCATGTTTATGTTTTGGCATATCTGATATCGTGTTTCTTTGGAAGTTAATGCATGTGGCTTGTGTAGAACTTCCTGTCCATGTCTGCATTGCCCGAGTATTTGAAAGGAAACACTTGGCCTCACTGATATTTGTACACCTCTTCACTGTCAAAAATTATTTTGGATTGTGATTGTTGATTGAAAAAGGGGGTTATTGCTTGGTCCAATGGTAGAAGTTTTGAGTGACAAGCGTGAGGTCGCAGGTTTTGGGTCCAAACCTGCCAAAGATCAAGTCTCTCTCTGATCTTTATCTTCTAGCGCCTCGTGTAGACTGAACATATAATATAACACATATTGGTTAGTGCACTTCTTATTGTTGATTAGTAGTTTAAAGAGAAAATTAGGCAGTAATGCGGAGGATTCTTATCCACCCCCCCCTCGCGCGGGGGCAGGTGGCCCTTGTGTAATGGTAAAAGCTCAGGCCAACAAGCGTAAGAACATGTTTTTATTGTGAGACCAGTTGCTTTGTGCAAAATAAAGTCAAAGTTGGTCTTTCTTTCGTTTTTCCCTCCCAAGTCTGAGCACCCCGCCTAAGTGACCAAGATTAGATAATGACAAATTTTCTACAGCAGTTGCACTGAGGAGTCCTAGCTGGATGTCACAGCAAGAAAATCACTTCTTATTGGTTGATTTTGTGATTAAAAATTTGTCATGTCAATTTTGTTTTACCTAGCAGTATTTGGTTTATGTATCGTTATCTTAGTTCTCCCAAACTTTCTACAGATGTTCAGTGGTGATATGGTTGCCTTAATTGTTTAAATATATTCTCTCTTGAATATTTATGAAATGACAATCCTTTTTTCTTTTTTTTTCTTTTTTTTTTTTTTCCTAAAAAAAAAAAATCAGCTGTGATGCAAACGGATGGGTTTGAATACTTGAAGGAAAGCTGTCCTTCTGTCCTGACTGAATTGCTGGAACATGTAGCGAGGATTGGTGAGCATTCTGTTATTTCTTATGGAGACAGGAGTGAGGCTACCCTGGACGGCAGTGATGTGAATGGAAGGCGGGCAAAGCAAAGGATATACTGATGTAGAAACAAACAGATCCTTTCTCTGGCCATTAATATTTTTGAACTTTACTGGTACTAACAAATTATATAGGAAAATATAAGGTCAGAAGTATTTTTGTTTCCTTAGAGAAGATAGTTTGATGGAGTTAAGCTGAGCAGCTTGCTTTATTATATATACATGGACTTCATGGTATAGCTCATTTGGGTGTTCTGTACAGTTTCAAGTTTCTTTGATTAGTAACTTGCTCATTACTTAAAGCTGGGGCAACTGAGCAGATAATATTTTATTTATATTTTGTTGAACTGTTTGGTGTTTCTTGGGGATCATTTTGAGGTGGAGGAAGTTGTATCACAAAAATATGCATTGCGAAAATATATATCCTGGCCCTTTCATCGATTGGCAGCAATTGCATTCTCCCTATAATGCTCAAAAATGAGTTGCAGAAAGAGGAGGTGTTTCTTACCAGGAAATAGGTCTGGTCTAGACGAACGAGTAAAATCATGTTATTGTATTTGGTTTGCTTGTTCTCTTATTTCGAATGATGATTACTCGTTTTAGATTATATGAATTCTTGCCTCTAAAATGGCAGCTAGACCTTGTTTTGTTGTGCTAAGGAAACCACTTTCCAGGTCTCGTGCCTAATTTTTTTTTTGTCAACAGTATTTACATCTAAAATAAATAATTTAAAATAAATAAATAAAAAAACACATTTTTTAATGATGCTACTTCAGCCTGGAAGGAACAAACAGTGATTCTCTAGTGATGTCTACCACCGGTATTCTGATAATATACCAGCCATTAAGGGAAGAAAAAAATAAAAATAAATAAAAATCAATAGCTTATATCAAAAGTACATTACAATTCGCATAATCCATGGTTAAAAAAATATTCAATAGCTTGAGTTTAACAGTACAACACATTTCGCATTCAACAAAGTTATTTCTACACGTTTTCCAGTCAAATATAACATATCAATATTTATTTGAGGAAAGTATAAATATTGAGATGTTATAACATCCATTGTCCAAGACGTAACAAATATCAGAAGAAAATATTTTAGCTTTTTATTTTTAAACAATGGGAAGGAATAAAATAAATTGGTAGGTGAATGATATCATTTTTTACTTCCCCTCGCTTCATAACTTTACAAATCCTCCAAATTTTCGTCAGAACAGGCATGGAAAGAAATCCATGCAAAAGTTTTCTACACTTCAAATTAGTGTCGAATCAGTGATGTAAATTGGAAGTTGCTGCCAAAACCTATTTCACCAGCAAACTCCCTTACTGTAAGTCTTCCCAAGCGCCTGTGCTTGAAATCTAGCGCCGAAAAAAGCTGCCATTTGCCTCCATTTAGCTTGCAGTAGATCAGAGAAGTTGAGGCAATTTGAGTTGGATTTTTTTATTTAGGCTGTGATCAGTCTCTACCCCAACTCAGAGGACAACACATCAGAGAGTCAGTACCACTGACTTCCAGATCCGCCTTGAGCAGCAGCCACTTTCCTAGCCACATACTGAGGCTTGGGATGCAGCCCATTGGATTCTTCAACTCCATCTTCTTCCCTCTCGTTTTTACAACCTGGGTTTCTTCTAAGGTATGAAGAGCTAGAAACAGGGTATTGAGTTGGAACAGCTGGATTCCTACCCATCCTTCGCTGTTCAAGAGCCTCTGCTGCTGCTGCCGCCGCCCCACAGTTGTTGTACCGCAAAACAGAACTAACAACTTTCCCAGGCCTTGCAGCACCTCCTGCTGTGAAGGTCATTAATTACAAGTCAGATCTTAAGAACTACAACTATCTTAGGTAAAGAAATAAATAAGGCAGCCTAGCAAAAATGCGATAAGGATTTATACATTTCAGTCCAAAGCCAGTTTCCCATACATGCATTATCTGAGTTTACAGTTACATTTATATGTAGCACATATAATAACTTGAGCGGTGGTGATGGTTTGAGAATGTATCACAATAATGGTGACCAGTGCTGCTCAGATGTAAATGTTCGTACAATTCCCAACATCAACAATTTAAAATTTTCAAAAAATGCAAAAAGCAGGTAGACACTAGGAATGCCAGAAGCACATTGGACATTAATTCTCATAAAACAAAAGCCAGGGAATACTTGTCTCTTGATTCATCAACACTCTCTCTCCCAAAAGAAATAAGTTCCATGCAAAAATAGATACAATTTTAGAAGCTGGTAGAAAAAGAAGGAACGATTTTATATTGCTTTCCCCTATTTTAACAAACCAAGAACAAGATGAGAATTTTTCTATATAACCTGCACAATTTAATTTTGAGCTTACTAATCTATATCTATATGTATATCTATATCTATACTGACTTTTTCTTATTTCCAAACATTTTTCACATTTTTTAAAATACAAAAGAGTCGCTTTTATTAAATGTGCTTGCATTAAATGTGTTTTTTCTTTTTTTTTTTAGTCAAATTAATATACCTTTTTTTCTTTTTAATACAAGAAGTTGACTAGTTTAACATTTATCATTATGCTATAATTACCCTATTGCACCTCTTCAAATTGCTCTCTTATCATTTATAGTGATCAATATTTTTGCTTAATTTGTGTTGAATTTTCCTTCACCTGTTTAAAATTTCCCCTTTGCATTAAGTTCCAAAAATTTCTGTACATTTTCTATAATTTTTCAATCAAATTAATATTTATTTGTTTTAATACAAGAAAAATAGTTTCACATTTACCATTATTGCAATGATTACACTATTGCACCTCTTAAAATTACCCAACAGTTACAATGTCCCTCCCTCTCTATAATTTATAGTGATTAATATTTTTGCTTAATTTGTCTTGATTTTTTCTTCTCCTGTTTTCAATTCCCCCCTCTGCAGACCATAGAAACAATTTAGAATTCTAAAAATTTCTCAACACTAATTAGGTAATGGAAGTACTTCAAAGATTATCATCAACAGCTCTTCATACCCAAGTAAGCCTCTCACAAACAATTTAGTTGAAATACACTAAATACTGTAAAAATGCATATGTGTGTGTGTGTGTGTGTGTGTGTTGTTTATAAATATACATCTGATACATAATAGGACTTTTTTTAGAAATTTATGAATTGAATGGTATTTCTCTTTATTGCAGTATATAGGTTTATGAATTGCTATAACGTAACTATTCTAGAATTAGTTCATGAATGTTTTTTAGGGCACCAAGAGACTATAGAGGACCTAGCAAGAACAATTATACGGAAGCGCACAGTTTGTAAAAATTCCTTTTGCAACATCATTTACCGATTCTTTGAATTATGTGTTTATGTGTTTAGTAGTGCAAAACCATATCATTTAACTAAATTTAAGAGGTTTGAGAAGAAATTATATGAATGATTAGCAAAAGAGAGCATGTGGCCCCACAGGTATAATCAAAAACATATTATTAAAGGCCACATATGATTCCTAGGAAAATAAATCATAGGAAAAAAGTTCACATATGATTTGGATTCATTGGCAACAAGTATACATTTTCGTAACTAAACTGCTAGGAAAGGAGCCCGTACACTGCAATGCAGTAAGTAACTAAATATTTATGGTGAATAGATAATTGGTACTTTATTTATTATATTTTAAAATAAAATTTTGACTTCAATTTTCACTTTCTATCAATTTTTCATCCTACGCTATTTTGTTAATTATTCAGTAGATTTCTAAAGTTTTTGTGGCTTCAACATTTATTTATTTTTTTAAGGTAAATACTAACACCCACAGATACTCATTATGAGACTTGAACCTTCACCTCTCATTTAGAGAAGAATGGTTATACCATATGGACTAATTTTTTACTACCCTCCTATGAGCAACTGATTAATCATTTGTAGACTTGTATCCGCATTTAAATTATTAATATTATTAGTTAGTCAACGTTGTTGATGGTAGACAGTTTTTTTTTTTTTTTAATTATGCATTTGATTGGAGCACAATGCAATTGTCATGTTGAGGAGATCCCATTTGGCTTTTGGTCTCTTTGGTGTGGTTTGGTGTGGTGTTCATTTTTTCTAAAACAGTGCTACTTGGAATTAGAGAGTTTTGATAGGCAAAACAATTGAAACAAGATAGTGGTAAATAAGATAATATTAAGAAGAATCTATATAATGAAGTAAGAAAAACATGCATACTGTGTGTCCCCCTTTAGTTTAGACAAAAATGGTACACATGAAATCACAATCAATAATGATGGTAAAGGAAGTCTAATCCAAATAAGATGTTCACACCTTGGATAGTAGGAGGAACTTGGAGAGGAGGCCTTGTCATAGGGATTCCACAACTCCTGTCCATATGTGGCTTCTCGGCTTCCTTGATGCTACATTTAGAGAGATCATTTGTGATTTCTGCTGACTTCTGTGTTGATTTATCCGAATATAATACACATGCCCTGCAACCAAAATTTTCTTATGAGTGGCTTGAATGATACCCAATTGCCAAAATGATGAAAACAAGTCAGATTTTCAAAAAGAAGTACAAAAGCATCTTAAACACTTGGTAAAGATGAAACCTGGGCAATGATGATGCATGCTGCCTCTCAGGTGGAGCAACGGTTCCACCATTTCCATAGTGCTCCTCAAGATAAGCAAATTGCTTCTTAAATTGGTCAACAGCACTGTTAAAATAGGGATAGAGAAGAAGAAAAAAGATTCACTAATTAGATCAAAATGAAATAATAAAGACATTAGAAAGGCCTTACAAAAAATCAATGATTTTTTAATTGGTATATCCACCCCACCCACCAAAAAATAATAAGAACCTTGCAGAGGTGCCAAATAAATTATACAACTGTTGAAGAATATCATAGGAGTGATTTTGGCCTATGATAGAATATTGATTGGAGTGATTTATGGGATTGATTTTAGAAATCCTCCATCAATGTATTTTCCATATTTATCACTTGTATTATTTCACCTATAAATAAAGGTCCTGATTGTAAACAATATTAAGAGAGAATATAATAAAAGCGATGTAGCCCTTTGGGCTTTGTGTGTCTATCCTTGTGTTCTTCATGTTTAATTTCTCTCCTCAATTTTTATGTCTTTCATCCATAACAAACACTTTCCCCCACAATAAATTATGTTTTCTTCTGTATGAGGAATATTTTAGTTATAAAGTAATTCAATAGGGTTCTTAAAAAACTTTATTTCTACGCGAAGGGTACTGGAAACAAGAAAATTTTACACGAATACATAACATTACTAAAATTCGGTGTCTTGAGCACCCAAATAATCCCCGACTTATTCTCAGTGGTTCCATATTTGTCTCTCCATCCTCCAAGGTTTTTGGAACAATTAAAAATAAATAAAAATTATTTACGCAACTCATGAAAAGCAGGTCGGGGTCAGTCTGGTTTATTCATTACGTATAATGTGATATTGAGAGTTTGGCTATAATAATGATCACTTAAGCCATTAAAGTCTATTTGAGACCAAGTAGGCACCAAAATTTGTAGTAAAGGGTTCAGGGTCACAGGTTTTAAGTATCTGGTAGAAAATAAATAGTGGAAGTGCACGCAATTCAAAATATTATTCTGATTGAATCTTTAAAACAAGGCCAAAGAGTAAATCAAATGGATATAGCTATAAAATTACGAAAAGATATCACAAGTAGATTCTAATAGTGTGAAGTCCACATAGTGGGAATAGAAAACTGTAACCGATCATTGCTATCTATTTTTAATTTTTGAAATTGATCATCTAATGACTGAATGTTTTCAAACAGCATGAACAATCCAGGATATTAAAATTGGCATGCAGTAGCAGGATAAGGGCATTAATGAAAAAAAGAGAATACATTTTGCCTTACTGGAAATAGGAGAATATCACATCCACAAATAGCAGGATGTTCAGAGAGAATTTTAACTTTAGATAACAATACCTTGGATACATGAATCCTGTCGGTTCTGCGCCCTCTAAGTGCTCTTTCAACATCTTTGGATGGTATTCAAGAATCTCTCTATATATTAGCTCTCGTACATCTTCCTTTGTTATCCTTCGTCTTTCAAATTCAAATTCCATTTTTGTAACAGGTTGAGCAGAAGGTTCCCTCTCAACCTTGGCTAAGTTCTTAAAATATGGATCTGCAAGAGCCTGACAACTTGCAAGACAAATACGATCATTTAGAAGAGGCAAACTCAATGTATAAGGTAAGCTATACAATCATATATATCATACGATTCATACCTCTTCAGCAGAAGGTCGATCCTTGGGTTCAAATGCTAGCATTCTTTCTAACAAACGAAGTGCAAGAGGATCTGCATTTGGGAACTTCTGGGTCAAAGGAATGGGCTTTTTCTTCCGCATGCTGCTCAGGTATCTCCGAGCTTTCTCATTGCGTATCTGTAGGAATAAAATCAGTGGTTTGGCAAACAGGCACTAGCAGATGGGACGTGCAATAGATGACAATGAATATTTGAACAATAACTTTCATATATTAAGAAAACAAATTTATCACAAGAAACAGACCCTGGCTATGGCTTCAGGAGACGGTGTTCCCAACAATTCGGTCATCAGATCCAATTGATGGACAACATTTTTTCCAGGAAAGAGAGGTTTCCCGGTTAAAAGTTCTGCAAAAATGCAACCGATGCTCCATATATCTATTGCAGGTGTGTACTGAAAACGATATAGAAAGTGGATGTCAGTAGAAGACGACATTTATCATTCCTACAAGTATATGGTAACTATTACGGATGAGTTGTTGATACATGATATCAGGAAGTGAAAAATCCTGTTATGCTAAGAAAATAGGAAGCCATTGTGAATAGTATACCTTAGAGAAAAAGGATCCACACAACTCAGGAGCCCTGTACCATCTGGTTGCAACATAGTCCTATGATCACACAAATTGAAATAATCAAGGGAAAGGTATTATTATTAGATAACATCTGTTTTCCATGAAACCCATAAGAATTAGAAGTTTCATTGGAATAACAACGCGGTGAACTAAAGAAAAACGTACAGTCCAAAATATAGCAGTGGGAGTATCATTAAATGCCACTCTCGCAAGACCAAAGTCGCAGATCTTGAGCTTGCAGTCAGCATTCGCTAGGATATTTTTTGGTTTTAGATCCCGATGAAAGACATTTGCTGTAAAACCATTCATTAAAAACTATAAGAACAGAATTGGAAAGTTCATAACATGTTAGCAACTACTTTAAAGTCTTATACAAAGTCACATATGTATGTTTACAATGCAATTGCACTGCACTCAAGGCAGTAATAAAGTTGAATTACAAGATTGTAGCAACATATAACCTGTGTGTATGTACTTTAAGCCTCGAAGAAGCTGATAAAGGAAGAACTGATAATGTTCTGGCGTCAAATCATCATTTGCTTTAATAACCTGGTGTAAATCAGATTCCATGAGTTCAAAAACGACATATATGTCTTTGAATTCCCTTCTGGAAGGAGGCAACAAGATGTGCTTTATTTCCACAATGTCTGGATGACGAAGGAGTCTAAGAAGCTTAATCTCACGAAGAATGCGTGTGGCATCAGATACATGTTCAAAAATATCGTTTATCTTCTTAATAGCAACCTTTTCTCCAAGATGAGTATCATATGCAGAGCAGACAACACCATAGCTTCCTTTACCAATTACTTCCTCTATTTTATACCTGCTTCCCTCACCATATTCAGTGAAGAAGTCTACATCTACAGCCTGCATCATCACATTAAAACATGCAATGTCATCAACATTGTCATTGAAATGGTTCAAAGGAATAAAATGTCATTAGCCAAGTTAGTATCAGTCACCGCCGGTGTTGATCTGGAAGAATGTGAATAATAAATTAATAAGCTTTTTTCTGTAGCTTAACCACATTTGACATATTATATTCCACCAACAAAGGTAAACATAAATCATATTATCAGCTGTCATTAAAATTTTGGAGAAATAAAAAATGCCAGGTCAACAGTGTTGTGTCGGTTGTGGTTTTAATCAGGAAAGATAAGATTTGAAACTGAAGCGAAAGAGTAGGTTGATACTATTAAGGGAGCAAAAGTTGGGTAGCATCACTAAATACTCTGTTTCATGATATTAAGGAGCTGCTGCCTGCTGTAAACGTTTCATAGTTTTTCAATCGATTTTGCATCAACCAACAGATTGGTCCATGAGATAAGACAGTATGGATTGAGGAATCTTTGTTCGTTAGATTCTAATCAGTTTTTGCCTTTTTGGCTAGCTAAAGCCATTGAAAACGCTTGTACTTAGCTGCTTTGATATTAATAGATTAATTCTATTTGCCAGGAAAAAGAAAACGAAAAGAAAAAAGATAGCAGGTCAAATTGGAACTGTCATTTTCTATAACTTTCATTACCCCACCTAGCAAAGCCTCATTGTTGCTTGGAATCGGCTTCCCGAATTCTTGTCTGTCATACCACCCAATATAGAGACATATATCCACACATGTATATATGAATCCATTTTTGTGTACATTAATTTTTCAAACCTAAATGTAGACAGAAGAGTTGTGGAAAATTTATATGTTCTATTATACTAAATTAACAGCAAAAATAAAATAATAATAATAATAATATAAAAAACAAATGAATTGCTTCAAATTGTAGAGAAAAGAATATCAATTTTTTTAATTTTCAGAGTTTAGCTGTAATCTACAGGCAATCCAATTTAACAAATAAATAAGAATAGCACAAAGACATAACAATCATTCTCTGCCAAAAAATTCATGCCTACCTTAATCCCATATGAATGGCTGACCCCATTCATATGGGATTAAGGCAAGGGTGGCGATGATGATGATGATGATGATGATGATGATGATGATGTGCTCTGACACTAAATTTTTTAAATAAGTAATAGCATTAAAATAACTGGATGGAAAAGAAAATTGAACTTACAAAACGCAAGGTTTGTGGCGACCGAATGGACATATCAAAATAACTGGAAAACTCCAATAGGAACCGATAAAACCATAACTAATATATATAGGACTCTGTACTGAATAGCATACCAGCTTTATTCATAGTTGCTATATTACTTTGACAAACCATAGCATCAAAGATAATTGCTTGATACGAAAGCATCCATATGCGCTTATTTCGAGTGGGACCCTAATTTTAAAAGGAACACAGAGGCGTGTGGTGCATAAGCTAAGATGTATATCGTGTCAAAGAGCTCATTTCCATCCAAAAACGAAAATTATTCCCAGAAGGCAAAAAAAAAACACATTTAACAGTACGAAACAAACACAAATGAGAGAGAGGGGGTTGCAATTACAATCATTATGACAACAAATAAGCAAATTTTATTACTACATAGACATCTGTTGAGCCCTTAAAATCAATTAGATCCATTATTCCTTACAGTTAATCTATATCTATAATTAATGCGAAAATGATATTATAAATTACCTTTCTTCGCTGATCAGGCTGCATCTCAGCAACAAAGCATCAAAATCCACCAGAGAAATAGATAAATCAGGACTTAGATCACAACAGAGAGCCAAAAAGTTGATTATGCACTCAAATTGACACCAAAAAAAATCAAAGCATAGTAGATCACGAGACTAGTACAAGATCCTGAGACCTAATGAAGTGACTCAAGCTGATCAAAGTGGCACAAGATCAAGAATTTACAATACAAATTCAACAAACATCTATTTAAGTACACACCCTATCTCTGAACCCAAAGTATTAGAGAAGAGAGTGTAAAGTGAAATGAACCAACTTTTTTGTTGGGCAAAAATCGGAACGTCTCTGGATTCAGAGAAAAGGGAATTGTTGTGTGGGTGAAGAAGAGAGAGCATGAGATGTGTCTGGTTTATTGGAAAAAGGTTTCGCTGAAAAATCCGATGTTGGAGGTGAAAATGTATTGTGTGTCGTAGCTGGAAATCAGAGTTTACAGATCGATATGAACTGTTTGGAGTTACAATATACGGCGATAATCTCTAATTTGACGATTATATATATTTGTATATATGGTACAGTTTTAGAGAGAGAGAAAGAGAGTTAAAGTAACGATGCTTAGATCTTCGAGAAGAGAAAGAGATTGTGTGGTTCTTCGAGTTAAAGGATTGTAGTTGAGAGAAGGGGACAGGAAAGGGAGAGGTGTAGAATATTTTTGCCTATAAAAATTTAAAAAATTGTCCATTTGAAAAGACATATTTGCCACTCGACATGGATTATTGAAGGAAAGCTTTAACTTTGTTTACAAAAACTTTGGAAGTCATTCAAGAAACTTCAAAATACAGTGGAAAGTGTGTAAATAATTGAATCATATAATATAATTGCAATTGAAATCTGAAAACTCTTGCAACGTTTGGTGCACAGGAATAAAATGAAATGAAATATTCATTCGAACTATTTATTTAATTGATGGGCAGAAATGAAATGGAATGAATGAAATTAAATATTTTTGTAATATTCTCAGTACGTCCTTCATCACATTTCAATAAAGCAAAAATATTTCGTATCGACGAAAAATCTTTCACATTCCACTTTTCACGTTTATCGAGCTTTTTTATTAGATGTAGTAAAGGTCTTTCACCTTCACTCTCCTCCGAATATACCGAGAGCTGCCATTGACAAAAAATTGTCGGACCTTCAACCATATTATATATATATATATTATTGAGATTGATATATCATTAAAGATATATATATATATATATATATATATATATATATATATATATATATATATATATTAGCCTTTACACTAGCTTCTTAAGTTAAGACGTATTCAATCTATTTTTAGATAAAATTGTACTGATAGAATATTAATTAGATTAATTTGAGAAAAATCATTCCATTTTAGATTCAATGATAGTTAACCAAAAAATAGAATTGTAACAATCATTCCATTCTATAACGATTCACCGTGTAATACCAAACATTAAAATGGTAATACTCATTTCATTCCTTTCTTATTTTCATTATATTCCAAGTTGCATTTCATTTCATTCATTCACACCAAACATTGCCTTATGATGCTTCTTACCTGGTTACGAATTCTGGCATTCTTAAATCAATTATATAACAAATCACGTCACAATATAAAATACACTAAATTATGAAATCTAATGCTCATATAATATACTCCATTATGTTACTTTGCTGTATTAATATTTTAAATTGTTACAGTATCAATACAAAATTATTACATTATTGATTAAAACACAAGATATAGAATAAAAAGATGCATGAATATTTGATATGCATATAGATTGGTGTGTGTGTATATATATATATAGATTGGTCCAAAAAAATATATGTAGATTGGTCCAAATATATTGAGTAAAAAATTAATAAAATATCAATAAATTATCCACTCGGGAATTGGAATCAATGCATGTTCCATGTGGCAGGTCACATACAAATATACAAAATAGTGTTTTATTTCCTAAATAATAGACAAAATAGTATTGCTTGTAATCTTTCCAAATGGAGCTCAAGAAGTTGTGAAAATAATAATAATAATAATAAATTCACTGATGCTTACTAGTATTTCTTTACAAAAATGTTTATTGCTCAAACTTTTGGTCACAAATAAACGTTAGGATGATTTTCCAATAGTTAAATTTAAAATAATCGAGTTGGGAGTTTGAGTTTTGAATGAGAAGAAATTTAATTAAAATTTTGAAGTAATTTTATTTTTAATTTTAAATTCAAAGCACGGATTCCAAAATTCCAAACGCAACATAAGAGCTTAGTTTCTTATTTATTTATTTACACTGGTAAGTATTGAACTTTTAAAATCCAAGTCTCCCATCTTACATGCTATGTTAGTATATCATTGCATTATAACAATTTTAATTATGTAAAAAATATTTATATTTTAGTAGCATTTTCTCATCTCAAATGGGTCCAAGATTACCATATTTGGAAGAGTCCTGTGTATCAAAATTACATAATAAGCTTAAAAAGCCATATTAAGTTTCTACTTAGACATCAAAATTCGTTGTTTTTTGCACTAAATCTTTCAAAAGAGGAGGAGATCTACTATCCTCATAAAGGAGAAAGACTTTTCGGTTCTAGTGATACTATGTCGGCATTATTATCAACCAATTATATATGATACCAAGAAAATGAAGAAAAAATTAATGAATCCATTTTCTATATTAGATGGTAGTGAGGGAATGTCCGGCCAGCCCATTGGTCATTGCAGTGTTTTAAGTGAAGAGTCTCTCGGCCTTCGCTTGTAATGAATATGTAGAAGTTACAAACACACACATATATAGGGATTATTTATGAATTGACAAAATAAAAGTGAAGCATTTATCAATTTCATCTTATTGAATTATTACTTACTATAAGTAGGGGTATTAACGGTTCAAAAGGATTTTGTCGGCTGCATGTGCATCACATGGCTCTGTAGGAGAATCTTAGGATTAGCCTAGTACTCGTTTATAATAATAAGTACAGGTGGGGTCTAGGTAATTATTAATCACCATTATTCTAAAATTTTAAATTGTTGTAAGAACTTTAGTACTGCTTTCCAAAAAACTAAAATTTTTATTAGGTAAAGGAAAATTTTATAAGTATAGAAGTTCCACTTTTTAAAAAATAGTTTTTTATTCTCAAATAATTTCATTTTTGCTTGATTAAGAGTTACTTCGAAAATATTCTTAAAAGAATATTCAATTTCAAAAGATGGGTCTTTTAGTTATAAAAAATATAGAGATGATAAATACACTTTATTTTTGTAACGATCCAAATTTGAGGATCCGGATTATTACTCGGGTTTTTACCTGCACTCGAAATCAACTAAGGGCTTTAGAGCTAATTTTCGGATCAAAACATAGGTAAGTCCTCGTTATAAGATGTATGTGATGATTATAGCATCATTGGGTGGCATGTGAAGGGTCATGGATGAAAAAGAAGCAAGGATATGGTGAATACGGGGAAAAATTAGTGGATTAATTCAATGACAACCCTCCGATCATATAACTTTATAATTTATTAATATATTATTGTGAGGTTATTTTTTTAATCTAAGAGTCTATATTTTATTAATCTATTATGTGTTAATGATTTAAGACCATTTAATAATTTCTCGAATGCACAAATCGATCGTAGTGTTTACGGTACATATATAATGGCATATCTATAGCAATTGGCATTTAGGAGGAGCATTTGAATGTGGAATAATGAATGGATAATGGTGAAACGAGAATTACAAAATTCCACGCGCTTTAAAACAAAGCGCTTGTCGTGTGGTCCCCACGCTCCACTGTCATCTTACAGTCACAGACCGACCGTGCTAGTCGCTGACTGAGTCGTGGTGGCCACACGCCTCGGAGGAACGTAGGTACCGCGTAACGTGATAATGATAGTGGCAAAAAAAGGTGATTATAATGTGTATGTATATCAATCTCCACCTTCCATTTCACGGACCACCAACCACTTGGCTAAATGATTGTTGCATATCAAACGGTATACTTGATTCTAAAGTAATTTGTCATTTTCAACAAAAGTTAATTCGCCCATTTCCCACTTATTGCTATCTTAAAGTTAATGGAGACTATGCACCAATAGGGTAGGGGTTTAGCGTGTTTTCAGTTATTTGTTATTACTATTAAATTTAAAAATATAAGTACACTTTTCTTAAATCGGTCCATTTCACGTGTCATTAATAAAATAGTATATATTAGGCACCATATCTCTTTTTTTAATGGTTGTAAATTTGTAATTGAAAGTCTTATCTGTCCAATTCACTTTAACCGATTTTTTTTCATTTTATCTCTAGAATTTTGAATAAAGAGAGCCATTGTTTATACATTATATCTTTGTATTTATGATCATCATCGTGTTTCTCCTAATGCCGGATTAGACTACATTAATTCTTTGTATCATTCTTTTTAATTACTTGTCATATTAATTATTATGTTTAATTTTTTAAAATCATCTTTAACTATTCATTCCCGTTATTTTTTCATCTCTTACTTTAAATTAAACTTCTTCTTCTTAGAGAAGCATCTCAGAGCTACTTTATCTCCCACACTTTTATTACCGATCTTAAAACCATCTAACCAATCTTATTTCAACTAGGGGAAGGGAGGGTGTTGTTCTAGTTTATTTTTTTAAAGCCCAACACTTGGCTCTATAGAGCATAATTGATTTAAGAAAGGTCTTATAATTTTTCTTTTAACTTATACGTTATTCGTTTATCACATGAAAAATAATTCCTTGTGACCTAGGAAGTACATAATTACTATTTTTTCATGAGAATGGGTATGAGAGAATTGGAATAGTTGCTAGTTATGTTCTTATCTCACATGTGACTGAATTATTTGTGATTAGACTATATCAGCGGTCAGTAGGGATGACCTATTCACTGGTGAGTAAACAGATCTGTCCTTATTGTTATTATTATTATTTTTTACAATGACAAAAAATACACTCATATATCTATATGTTCCAATGAGAATTTGAACCCGGACCTTCCAGTCAAACCTTTCAATGAGAATTTGAACCCGGACCTTCCAGTCAAAACCTTTCAAAACTTTGTATGTAACGAAATTTTTTCATTATATAAAAAGTATGATAAACTTTTTTTTCCTAATAGGTACTAGAGGTGCAAGTTGGGTGGGTTCGGCCCAACCCAAACCAAACCCCGCCCAAGTTATTCAAGGCCCAACTCGTAATGATCTAACATCGGGTTATCCCACACCCAACCTGAAAAGTGATTTTTATTTTTATTTTTATTATTTTTTATTATTATTTTTTTTCCCAAATCTTAAATCGAGCTAGGCTCAAGTTAAACCCAATTACTACTCTCACACACTCCTTCCAAGGAATAGTATGCACCTAAGAGGAGTCTAACATTATACGGGTGCTCCTTAGACTTCAGGATCAAGTGACTTACCTATTTAACTCTTTAAGCGTTCATGTGTAAACATTTTATTATATGTATTATTGTTTCAATTTAAAAAAACATATATTTTTCAATTTTCATTATTTGTCAAGTCAATAAAGTAGAAGAGAGTTTTATTTATTTATTTGGGGAGTAACTTAAGAGAATTTACAAACTTTGTTTGCGAGCACATGTAGTTAGGATCACGGCATGCATAGATAACAAATTTTGGTTTGTGCAACTAGAGAGCATTTTAGGTTGGCACACAATGTACATGTCCTTCACTACATATGACTTGATATGCACTATTATTTAAATTGGAACACAAGTTAGTGAAAGCAATTTTAACAAAATTATACTTGAATATGTCTTTTTTTGGCTAAATGATTGAGCATTTTCGGATTTGAGACCAATAGTGCATGATTTTCAGGTTTGGCAAGTCACTCGCAAAATCCAATAATGCATGATTTTCAAGATCCCAATCTGGCCTAACATTTACTACTTTGAGCTCAATAAAGATGATGCTCTTCAAAGTAGACAAACAGAGGACTACGACAATATTTATACGCTTTTTGAATGTTTCACTTGATATGAATCTTTTTCATGTTTGTTTGTTTGTTTTTATTTATTTATTTATTCAGGTGTGTGGATCAGTAGTGGGCCTTCTCCAACATAATGTGAGTGGTGATGAGTGAAGACTAGACAGCCACTAGGTCCACCTCACACAGACAGCAAATGGCACTCAATTCCATTTTCTTGTGCTCTGCTGGCATTTATTCTCTACCATCAAAGGAGACATCAAGATGTGGACTTCCATAATTTTGACTCCATAACTCTTTTAACATAATCATCTGAATTAGCCTTAGATGGCATGCCCTACCTTATTTCCCATTAACACAAAATAATTATTTGCAAACCAAAATTCAAATAATGTGATTAGACTCACACTTCCTTTCTTTTCGGTTCCATAGGTTGAATGGAACTTTTTTTTTTTTTTAGGTTAACTTGGTTTATCCAACTAATCCCGTGAAAGGCGTCTTTCCATCACGGAATATGACCACGGAGGCGTGGCGAGAAATTATTTGCACTCATTAAGAGTCTAAATTCAGGCTTGAAGCTACATGAGGCAGGAGAACAAGTGACCTCACCGCTTGAGCCAATTCCTCGGACCTCATGTTTAGGTTGAATGGAACTTGCTTTCCTCTTCAGTTTAGTTTCTTTGCAGAACAAGTACAAACTGTAAAGAGGTAGCAGTAGCACTCAACATTTTCCCAATAATGGATACCCTTTTTAGCTGGAGGTCCAGAAGAGTACTGTTGGGTTATCTTCAAAGATGGGTTACCATTAACTTTGCTAACAATCACCGTCACCCTAAAACTCTAAAACGACACTAAAGAGAGACGATACCTTACTGTTGCCGCCACCAACTCAGGGACGGAACCAATGAAGGCCCGGGGGGCACATGCCCCGCCCTCTATAATATATGTAGTAAATTTTTTTTTTTTTTTTTTTTTTTTTTTTTTTTTTTCTATATATATGAAAAATTTTATTCACTGCCCCCCCAAATTTTGTGGGTTCTAAAGTTATTTCTTTATTTTTCTCTTTTACTCTTCAAATTTCTTAAATTTCCTTAAAATAAAAAATTAAATTTTCTTTTCTCAATTGAAACTCTTAACTTCTTCTTCTTCTTTTTTTTTAAAGTTGTCTCATTTTTCTTTCTTTTTTTCTTTTTCTATTTCTATTTGTTAAAATTCTTCTTTTTAACGTGCATATTTGAATAATTTTCTTTCTTCTTCTTCTTTTGTATTTTATATTTGTTATATATATATATATAGCACCGTGCCCCCCTAACTTGAAATTCTGGCTCAGTCCTTATACCAACCCTTCTAGTTGTTGTCAGCCCACATTGCTGGAGATCATTTTAGAAAAAGGGCAAAGATAGATGAAATTAAAATTTTGATGTACTTAGAATTGATTTGAATTATTTTAGAAATATTATAGTACGTTTTTATTTTCGAGTTTGTTTTATGTTTTTTTCGTATATAAAAGCTGTTACGTAATCAAAGACTTCAGTTTTGCCTAAGATGCCAACTCATGCCACCCTTCAGAATTATGTAAAACAGGTCATCTACTATGTCAAACCAATATTCCACAGCACAAATTCTATTCATTCTTTAACATCTTTAAACCAAACCATAAAAAAATGGAAAAGAAAAAATGAGGGAGTACAACCATTCTAGTCTTCAAAAGCTTTCATAACTATCAAAGCAAACAGCAATTCCAGATACTTTCAAATTACCACACATTTTAAAACTCTTTTACGCAAGTTACAACACATCAAATTGTTCCATAATTTCACACATTGTCACTTATATTACACATCAAAAAACTATTCATATAATTTAATAATATTCTTACTTTAGGTAGTTAACAAACCAATTCAACATATCTCGGTGAGACTCTTCTGCAGACTTCACAGCCACTTCATCTTCATCCTTGTACCTCACGGTCCAGCCATGTGTAGCTCCAGGAAATATCTTCACAAAGCCATCAACCTGCAAAGAGAACACATCACCCCTCAATTATTATGTACTACATAGCTTAATTACTTCAAATTTGAGATTATGGAGTTAATTTGTCACCCCAATTTCTCACACATTGACATGCATCCATCACAATTCTCATATCAAGAATTATTTAAAAGATTGTTTTGATACATCCCAATGTTGAAAAAGGAACCGGTTGTCAATTTTGAGAGGTCACTCACCAATAGGTTTCCGATTATCAGTTTTCTTTTCCAACAAAATAATTCTTGAATTACCAAAATCAAGGAATCTTAAACCAACAAAGCGTTATATATCTGGATACAAAATATAAGGGCCTTTTGGATTTAAGAGGGTAAATGAATCTCCTTCGAAATCCAATTCTGTTTTATAAAGTATATAAACACAAAATGTATCTGAAAGAAAACTTGAAAGAAGACAAAACATAAACTTGTTCTTTTTTTCTCTGCTTAAGAAAACACTCCATTAGCAATCAAAAAAAGAAAGATGAGTACAGGTTTACAGCAATATAGGGAAGGATATGACCACTAAAAACTGAGAATCTGCTAATGAACATATAAAGGACAAAAGATTGCAAAACCCCCATTCAAATTTTTTTTATTTTTATTTTTCCCGGCATTTTACCTACATATATAAATGAAGTATTAGCTTGACAATTACCTCAGGCTTAGCATTTAGGGCCCCCTCAAACTGTTTCAAGAGTTCCGGTGGAGAATAGTTGTCAATTTCAGCTCCTAGTACCGAAATTGGAACCTTAACCCCTGGAAATAGTGCAGATTACTAATGTTTCAGCAAATAATCAAACCACTCATGGCCCAAGTTTACCGTTCCCACCCCATGAAAACGGAAAAATTAGAACTCATACTTCCCATCCCACCCCTAAAAGAAAAAAGGAAAGATATTCAAGAAAGTTTCTTCTGAAAGAAAATTCAAGGCAAACATGATTTTCAACGGCCTACTCTAAGTACCCAGATAAATTTACTGATAGAACAAAATTTAACCAAATAAATAAATAAATGGAAAAGGTTCGATGATGGACTTCATACCCTGAATATCATCTAGAGTGACAAATGAAGGATGTAACATCACTGCAGCTTGGATATAGGCATATTTTGCTAGTTCCACAACCACCTTGGCTGACAAGAATTAAAGAAGCCAGCTCTTAGCCAACTACAATAATTAAGAAAAAAGTTGCTGAAGTAGAAAGAAATGTAAATTGTAGAGATCCATGACAGTTTTCCAGAAAAAAATTCTCACCGCCCCAACAAAAGCCTGCAGCTCCAATTTTGGACACGCCTTTACTTTCTAGAGCAGAAATTACATGTTGTGCATCTTCAAATCCTTTATTCTGCAGGAACAATAAAAATATTTCAGACACTAAACTTTAGAACTACTTAAGTTGGAGTATGAAAAATTAAACAATTAGGTTTACTGATTTCAACCTTGGTCAGAAAAAGTTAAAAAGCACACGGTTCAGTATGGTTGAAAATTTTAGAAAAAAAATCACGTTTTCAGCTGAAAATGAGACATGAATGGGTCAGTAAATAGCCGATATAATTGTTTGGCTTTAAATGTTAAAACTTCTGGCAGGCCCCAGAGATATAATACATTCTGACGGAACCACAACAATTAAAGTTTCCCACAGCAATACTTCAATTTCAAATTAAAATCAATGACAACTAACCGGTTCGTGATCCTTTATCCAAACTTGTAGAGGCTTTTCAGCATTATCTCCATGGGGATCTCCATATAAGAAGTCAGGAACCACCACATAGAATCCAGCGGCTCCAACTTTGTCAGCAAGCTTCCTTTTACAGTTGAAAGCTACCGATATTAGCTTCCAATCGTATAAAGAGTGCTATTGGGTCATCCATAGATTCATACTGCTAAGCCTTCCATTTGCCGACTTAATTAGAGTTTACTACATTGTCACCAACATAACACAACTGTGCAGAAATGTAAACATCTGAAGCCAAACTTCTTTGAGGCTAAATGTCAAGTTGCAAGACATAGACTCCAAATAGTCAATATGGGGGTATAGGTACAATATGTCCATTTGAACATGTAGCAAACAAGATTATCCAATGATTCAAATAATATATACATGAAAATCTCTTGTTATATTCCTTTTGTTATTCCAATGACCATGCTGAACAATTTATATGAGCACCATTTTATCCCAAAAAGTAAAAGAGGTAATTACATAATATGAGTACATAGCCATGTTCCTATGTGCTTGAATTTGGAGATTATATAATCTAATACTCGGATACAGATGACTATACATGACACATTTAAGCGAATCCATGTAACATAGTGGGGAACCTCATCTCCAATTCTCTTGAAAAGTAATGAATTTGACTCATAATATTGGAAGGAAAGTTTGAAAAAAAAAAAAAAAAATCAACAATAATGGAAGAAAGCTACTGATTGAAGACGATAAATCCAGTTGTTCCTTGAATGACAAATGTAAACCAATTTTCCTACATAAAGGCAATGGTAAATTAAGCCTATTTTAGAGTCAAACTATATGATCATACTCAGAGACTGTGAAATCCACACGATGCAATGCCTAGATAATAGTTAATTCATTTCTGAACGCGTCTTTGAAGGTAATCTGCAATTTTCGATGAGTTAGGGAACATAACAACTAAAAACCTAATTTCTGAAAAAAAAAATAAAAAATGCAAAAACATGCTAAATGGTAAGTCATCAATCATCATACATGGAGGTGATTTTTATCTTTTAATCATATTTCCTTCATATTTACAATACACTGTTGGATTCTAATAAGTCCCCCAATTTAAAATTCAGTTTTGGAATTCTGTTTCATGAGTGAATGCAAGAGGAGCATACACTCTTCAGTGGTAGAAACTTAAATTTTTTTTCCTAATCGGATGACAGAGAACAAGCAACCTATATTAAATTAGACACGAAATAGCCCAACAGGAAGAAAAAAAATACTAATAACCCAACTAGTTGTGAAATCAAGAGAAAACATTTCAAGCAATTATATATTAAAAGCAGAGTTGACAATTTACAATACCTCAAGTTTGGAGCTTCATATCCTGCAGGATCAGGTCATACACAAGAATTAGATATGACATTGACCATGATCATGACAATTACATGATTAAGACTCACCAAAATAAAAAATAAAAAAAATACATGATTCAGAAGGTAAGAATGATTTCTAAATTATATATGAGCACCTGCACACATATGCGAACGTAAGATCCAATATTAACTTTACATATATATTTTCCCAGATCTTTGGAAAAAACAGGATAACTAATAAACCGAAATAATCAGGAAAAGAAATACGTGCTCAAATAAATTTTTTATAATGGGAAAATATGCAAATGAAGGAAACTATAATCTAGATGATTGTTAAAAAAAAAAAAAAAAATGAAAAAAAAAAAAAGGCCTTTATAGGTACCGACTATCAACAAAAAAAGCACAATTCAAGATAGTCTGATGTTATTTAAAAAACCAACCCCAGCACATTTTCATAACCCAAGATAAAATACCCAACAGATTAATCGATATGGCTCAAATAAACCACATAGGCGCACAAAAACATTAGAACCAATAAACTGTACGATTGGTTTGTTGGATCACGATCCACGAAAAATTGACATAGGTCATAATGATTTGGTTCGGATTTGGGTAAAAAAGGACCCACCCGAACAAAACCAAACTGTTAAATAAATTTTTATTAATAGAGAATATAACTTATCATCATCAATGGACATACATGGTATAAAACTCTCCTCTTTTATAGGGAGATTGAGTATTCGAACACGGGTGAGGTAAAAAATACAATGGGTATGTTTGTTTGGACTTTCAAATATATATACACACACATATATAGGATAATCATAAATTTTGAAAGAAAAAAAAAAAAACAAAAACAAAAACATAAGTAGTGCTAAGTATATACCATAAACATCAGAAACCAGTAGGATAGCAAGCTGGGAATCAGGGGAGCCAGTAACGTAAGACTTGAGGGCTCCAAGTTGTTGGACATGTCCTTCTCCACAGCTTGAGCTGAGGGTTGGTGGGTTCTCACAGCACTGAGGTCCTGACATCCCTCAGATCTTTGAGAAGAATAGGTGGGTACAATTCTACAGTCACAAATTATCAAATATATAATGACTAACCATGCTCACTTTCCTTGTCAAACTTTTGGATTTAATATCTTATTTTGACCGTTGATGTTCTCAAATTATGGTTATTTTTTTATTTAAAAAGTCGTCGTCACACACACACACACACATATATAAATATTGTGATACAATATTTTCGGAGATTTGAACATTTGAACATTAATTTTTTTATTTTTAGAATAAGATATCACTGGTCACATGTCTTGTCACAATTATTAAATTGAAATTTCGAAAAAACGTGTAAATAGTTGTTTTACCATCTTTTGTTACTAATTTTTCATAAAAATCATTTAATGCATACTGTTTAGTTTTAGCTTTATAATTAAATATTATGTATTTTTAAGTGCTCTTGTTTCTTACTTTCTTGTTAATATTTGAAACTCAATCTTTATTTATTTATTTTTATTTGTTGTACTTTATCACTCCAGTACTAAATAATTCTTTTCCCTCAATCTGTCCTAGAATTTCCTTTTCTTTGTTCCCGATACCACCTCCATTTTTTACCATAAGTAATGTTATTCCTTCACAATTACTTTGACAAAAAACATACGATATCATCGTTTATGATTTAAGCCCCAACTTGGAGGTGTTTGAGAACTCTGGTCAGTTTTCTCATCCCGCTGGTTCAAGACAAACAATGACTTGAGCCACAAGAACTAATTCAGTAGAATCAAACAATTCTTTTATACACATAATCCTCTTAAAAAGGTAATCAAGGTTGAATGGAACTTGCTTAACTCAATATATATTCTTTTCAGATTATATACAAACTGTAAAGAGGTAGCACTCAACATTTTTCAACAATGGATACCCTTTTGAGCTGGAGTTCCAAGAAGGGTTGCCATTAACTTCAGAGATTATTTTTCCAACAATCACCATCACCTCCACCACCAATACCCAAAAAACTTTGAAATGATACTGGACACCTTACCAATACCACCACGACATTGCTACACTGCCCGACGCCACCCACCCTTCTAGCTGTGTTGTCAACCCACCTCTAACACAGTCGCATGGACCGCTAATTTTAGGTACACATAATAAACCATTTCCAGGTAAGAGGAGGATGAGTGCCTATCTAAAGGAAAATGAACAGATGCCCTCTCGAATATTTGAGCCCCAAAGGCAAAGGGTCAGGGTGTTGTCCACTACCACAAGCCTCACCTTGCATAGGCCTTGGTCCAAAATCAAGCCATCCTTCACAATTACGTAAGAGCATCCAGTGTCCTTTCTTTGCCACTTTGTAAGACATGATCTACTATGTGAAACCATCATTCCACATCACAATTTCTGCTCATTCTTTAACATCTTCCGATCAAACCATAAATCGAGGAAGGAGTACAAGCAATTCTAGTCTTCAAAGCTTTCAAAATAATGAAAGCAAACAGAAATTTCATATACTTTCGAATTACCACACATTATCAAACTCTTGTGTGATGGCTAATAAGGTACTACACATCAAATTGTTCCATAATTTAACCCATACTGTTACTTATGATAATTGAAGTAACATCCAACATATCCAATTATTCACGTGGCGGTAGACAAGTTATTACGCATCAAAAAAGTATTCATATAATCTAATAATGTTCTTACTTTAGATACTTAACAAACCAATCCAACATATCCCGGTGAGCCTCTTCTGCACACTTCACAGCTGCTTCATCTTCATCCTTGTACCTCATGCTCCAGCCATGTGCAACTCCCGGAAATATCTTCACAAAGCCATCAACCTGCAATGAGAACTTGGTGACATTGATTGCTGGACTGAAATAAAAGTTGCCACCATATCTAGTAGTGTGCAAGTGTAACAACTTCCATACAAATATTTGAGCTTGAACTCATTCTAAATAAAGGCCATATAGCAGAAGCTGAACCCTCAATTACCTTTATTAATATTCTAACAGGGTTTTATAAGTCAAGATTTGGAATTAGGGAAAACTGGGGCAGATACACGAGGCCCATATTATCATATCCTCGAATTATTATGTACTCGTAGCTTACTAAAAATTCGAGATTATGGCTGTATTAGGTGGGGTGTATGGAGTTAAATTGTCACCCCAATTTCTTGCACATTGACATGCATCCATACAATTCTCATACCACTAATTATTTTAAAAGATTGTTTTGATACATCTCAATATTAAAAAAGGATCCAATTGTCAAGTTTAAGAGGTTACCCACCAACAGGTTTCAATCATCGAAGTTCATTTCCAGCAAAATAATTCTAAAATAACCAAAATAAAAGGAATCCTAAAACAATAAACCGTTACATATCCAGATACTAAATATGAAGGCTTGTTGGATTTAAAAGGGTAAATTCATCTCCATCCAAATTCAATTCTGTTTGAGAGAGTATATAAACAGAACATTGTATCTGAAACAAAATTTTACAAAAGATGAAACATAAACTCCTTGATGAAGATAAATTCATCTCCTTCCAAATTCAATTCTGTTGTTGTTTTTTTTTTTTTATTTTTATTTTTTATCATCTGCTTCAGAAAATACTCTATTAGTAATCCAAGAAAGATAGATCGGTGCAGCTATCTCTATAGGCAGAATATGACAACAAAAACTGAGAATCTACATATGAAAATGTACAAGGCAAAATACAAAAACCCTCATTTTATTCATCCCATTTGCAAATAACCACCCTGAACTTAAAAGAAACCTTGCACTATCAAATACTTGCAAATAACTTTCTTTTGATCATTTAGCTATGAGCATAGCATAAAATTGCGCAGCTGTCCTTATGAAATAGAAACGAAAAAATTGAGGTAAAAGAAGGATTTTGAAAGAAAAAATTATCCACTATTAACTTAAAGCTCTAGAATGTATTGTTGAAATAATTCAACCCAATTTTCTCAATTTGAGTCCCAAATATGGATCGCTACATAAATTATCGTCCAAAAGTAATTTAGTCCACTCCACAGAAAAAGACATGTTGATAAAAAAATATAATGTTAATATGTCATGTGGCTAACTTCTTTTTCATCCACTTTCTAATGGATAAGACTGCATATATCTGACTCTCCCCAAACCCGCAGCGGGCCCTTTTTTCTAATGGATAATGTATGGCAGGTGGTAATTTACAGACTTTTATAAAAGCATAGGGGTTATTTTCCAAATTGATAGTTCAGGTGGTTATTTCAAATCTGATAAAGTTCAATTTATTTCTTTGTTTTATTTTCATCTTTTACATTTTGCCTAAATATATAAATGAAGTATTAGCATGATTGCCTACCTCGGGCTTTACATTTAGGGCCTCGTCAAACTGTTTCAAGAGTTCCGGTGGAGATATTTGGTCAATTTCAGCTCCCAGTACGGAAATTGGAACCTTAACCCCTGAAATAGTGCAGATAGTGCAGATTATTAATGTTTCAGCAAATAATCAAACCACTCATGGCCCTAGTTTACCCTTCCCACCCCATGAAAACAGAGAAAAGTAGAACTCATGCTCCCCACCCCTAAAAAAATAAATCGAAAGATATCGATAAATTTCTTTTTTAATGGAAATTCAAGGGATATTAACTTCCCCTTGCTATCAAAATGATTCTCAACAGCCTACTTTAAGTATCCAATTAAATTATTGGTAAAACAAACTCAAACCCAAAAACTTGGGAATGGTTTAATATGGAATTCATACCATGGATATCATCTAAAGTGACAAATGAAGGATGTAACATCACTGCAGCTTGGATATAGTCACACTTTGCTAGTTCCACAACAACCTTGGCTGTTAAGAATCCAAGATGCCGACCCTTAGCCAATAACAATAACAAAGAATAAAAGTTGCAGAAGTTGAAAGCAACATAAATTATAGAGTTTCATGACAGTTTTCCAGGAAAAAATACTCACCGCCCCAACAAAATCCTGCAGCTCCAATTTTGGACACACCTTTACTTTTTAGAGCAGAAATTACTTGTTTTGCTTCTTCAAATCCTTTATCCTACAGAAACAATAAGAATATTTCAGACACCAATGCTTTAACACTGCTTATGTTGGATTATGAAAAGCTAAGCAATTAGTCTTCCTGATTTCGGCCTTGGTCAGAATAAAGAAAAAAACACAGTTCAGTATGGGTGAACTTTTAAGGAAAAAACCATTGTTTCCAGCTGAAAATGAGACATAAATGCCTAAATGGGTCAGTAACTAGCCAATATATTTGGATGATATTAAATGTGAAACTTCTGGCTGGCTCCAGAGATAAATATGTTCTGAAGGAAACCACAACATTTACAGTTTTCCACAATGATTATTCAATTCCAAATTAAAATCAATAACAGTTAATTCTAACGTATTATAAAGATGACAACTGACCGCTCCGTGATCCTTTATCCAAACTGGAAAAGGCCTTTCAGCATTATCAAGTACATAGGGATCTCCATATAAGAAGTCAGGAACCACCACATAGAATCCAGCAGCTCCAACTTTGTCAGCAAGCTTCCTTAACAGTTGAAAGCTAGTGATGTTAGCTTCCAGAAGCATATAAATAGTGCAAATTTGGTCATCCATACTGCTAAGGCTTCCATTTGCTGACTTAAATAGCATCTACAACATTGTCACCATAATAACACACTTGCGCAGAAATGTAAGCCAAACTCTTTCGCCCTATTGTTATTCTTTGAGGCTAAACATCAAGTTGCAACAACATACACTCCAAATAGTCCATATTTCACTTTCTGATTCAAGTACTATATACATGAAACTCTTATCATATCCCTTTTTCTTATTGAATTACATAGTGGGGAACCCTATCTCCAATTATCTTGAAAATGAATGAATCTGACTCATAATAATGGAAGAGAAGTTTGAAAAGTAAACAAAATCAACAAAACTGGAAGAAATCTACTGATTGAAGAAAACAGATCCAGTTGTTCCCTGAATGAGAAACGTAAATCTGTATTTCTATATAAAGGCAATGGTAAATTAATTAAATTAATGGTAAACTTATTAGATAGTCAAACTATATTATCATATCCAGAGATTGTGAAAAACATTTGATGCAATGCCTGGATAATAGTTATTTAATTTCTTAAAGCCTTTTGAAAGGCAATTTGCAAATTTAGATGAATTAAAGAACATAACAAGTAAAAACCCACTAAATGGTATGTATTTAGATGAATTAAAGAACATAACAAATAAAAACCCGCTAAATGGTATGTAATCAATCATCATACATGGAGGTGACTTTATCTTTTCCCCATATTTCCTTCATATTTACTATGAGCATTGATATGATCACCGAAAGTTTTCAAACAAATGGAGAGCCGAATGCTCCCAAACATGAGTACCATCTCAACCATTAAACGATTGGGGAGCGTTCGACTCCCCATTCGCATGAAAACTTTCAGTTACTTAAACATTTTCCATTTACTATATGTTGACCCTAAAATCGGCTCCTAGGATCCAATCTTAAATTGATGGAAAACGGGCGTGCCAGAACCAATTGTATGGTTCGATTGAAAATTGTCAACTTGTAGTCTCTTTCAAGGGTTGACTTTCAGACGATGCGAGGATAAAGAGAACAGTGATACTCCTCTTAGAGTTCAAGAATTGTCTTAGTTAAAAGGACTTTTCAATGAATAAATTATAGTAAAAGATTAAGAGAATAGAAAAGGGAGGAAAACAAATATAGCAAGAAAAGAAAGGGAAAGAATGAGGATAGAGAGAGAGAGAAATAGATAGAAAGAGAGATTGAGAAATATAGAAGGAAAGAAAGAAGAAATAGCAAGGATGCTATTCTTGGAAAAGCTTGAGAAAGCAAACAAATAATAATAATGATTCTGAGGGTGCTGGACCTCTAGTACAGCATGCCTCTTTGTTTATTTATAGAAAATATCGTAAACAAATTCCTACCAATTAGTATTCTAATTACAATAAAACTCTCACTAACTACTAAATTTAAACTCAAATTGAGATTCCTAGATAAAGATTAATTCCTAACTAAAATATGGTAAACATATAAATCCTATCTAACATAAAATGTCTCAAAGGATTTCAAAAATATTCCTATCCGATCAATGAGCCTTTGCGTGCAGCCTTGCCCTGTCTAGAATCTGCCACGTCACTATTCCTTTACCTACAATCCTTATTCATGTATAACACTGGTAAGCTTTATTTCAATCTGAATTGTTGATCCGAATTACCTTCAGCCCAATCATGACCCAAATCCAGTGCTTTAAAGCCATACTTCCAAGCCCGAACTAATCACTGCATCCTCAACCCAATTTTTGTGCAATCCGAGTGCCTAAACATCATTATTCTTCAGGCCCATATACTCTTGGCCCATAATACCATGTTAATGTTTATCGAGCCCAATTAGAGCCCAGATCCAAATTACCAAAATGGGTGCCAACAATGCCCCCCAAGTTTTGGTAGCCATTTGGAACTTAGGCTTCCAAAAGTTTAAACTACGCACCCATTGCAACTTACCCCATACACACCATATAGACTCCAAACCCCATCATGTTATCAGTTCCCAAAAACTGCCGATTGACATTACCTATCTAATCCGTAATTAATACTGCCGTAAACTCTTCTTCTTCTAACCACCCACGATTCATTTACCAAAACAAATCTGTATCGGCCAAACTCTTCTTCCAAAATTTCTCATCTCCATCAGAAAACCCTTTTCTTCCTTTACAATATGTCTTCGAAAAAACAACATCCAGGTCTTAATCTAGAATCTCCTATACTAGCATCGACATCTCATACCCAAATGACCAAGAGTACCCTCAAAACCCTACCATCTTCTGAACTGAACAATACCACACTTATCGATTTAGCAAATAATGCTAAGGGTCTTGGTCCAGCATTTGTCAATCGATTTCCTCCATCTTTGTCTCCTTTTTACCCTCAAGGGGAAAACCAACTTCCTTTTCTCAAACCTGTGTATCAGACTGCTAAAGGTGAGAGACCGTCTCTGTCAATCAGGAATTGGCATCCTCCCATGCCCCAATGGAATGAGTGGGTGGATCATGTGTCTGTGGCTAAAGGTGATCTATGGAAGCGCATAGGCATCTTTGACATCATACAACTCAGTAAGCTTTCTTTTACTCTAGACAAACCACTGTTTTTTGCATCTTTACACTTCTGGTCACCCACCACCAATTCGTTACATCTACGCTGTGGGATGGTGGCCCCAACCCTTAGGGACGTTTGTGTTCTAACTGGACTCAAACCGGGAGGTGATGATATCAATTACCTTCTTCAAGACCTAGAAACCAATTTTTACTTTCCTGAACAAGACGGCTCTAAACATCACGTCCAATCTCACGGACCATTCCTCAAAGAAATGATTGGAGAACCTGAAACTAAAGTAACTGAACAGGAACACATAGGCTTTCTATTGTTGTGGTTATGTGGACATTTCTTGTGTGCCCCTGCAATCCAAAGTACTAAAGATCTCACCCAGTTAGCCATAGCACTGTCTAAAGGAAAATCCATGGCATTAGCTTCATTCCTGTTAGCATCTTTATACAGAGGTTTATCGGACCTCACTGTCTCAAGTTTCTCTCAGTCTGGAGGACCTTTCTGGCTTTATCAATTTTGGTTACATGCTTACTTTCCTGAATTGTCCCCCAAAATTCATCTCTCAACAAGTGACTCCCTAATTTCTTTTGGGTATGCCCGAACTAAACCCAAGGAATAATCATTCCTTGATTGTTTTTAATTCTTTTATCATCAATGTACACCCTCAATTCCTTCCCTTTTCAGACTGTCTTTTGGTTCCCTCTTGGTTGCTTCCTTTAACTGCCGATTCCTCAGTAGAACAAATTGAACTACACAAGACTGCTTGGGGCCATTTCTTGACTGCCAGAGATATTTCTTGCAATACCATTGCTCCCCACCATGCAAAGAGTCGGACTGGGGTAGAGTTCTATAACCCTGCACAATTAGCCAAGTAGTTTGGATTGACTCAGCTAATTCCATTACCCCCTCATTCTTCTTATAACAAGAATTTTCATAAAAGAGTGAAGTTGACTGATAGCGACCAAGTCCGTGATGTGACAAATAAATTTCAAACACTCTTAACCAATTTTCAATACAACGAATTCGTAGAAGAACTAGCCACTGACCCAAACTTCGAAGAATGGTGGTCTTCCTATATCTGCTTTACCAGGTCAAAAGAGGTTGTGCAGCTTGTCAATACTCTCCTTGGATCCTACAAGTTCATCTCCCTCTCTTTTCAAGGAGGAGAAAACATCACACCTGTTGTTCTTACCACAACTCTTACACAAGAGAATAAGCCCATTAAATCCACCAGTCATGTTCCACCTACAACTCCAGCAGGTAGAACTAGATCACGCTTTCGGCAGAGTAAGTTGTGATCTTTATTTGTACTAATCAACAACCATACTATAATATGGATTTGTTATTTTTCTTTTCTTTTATATAATAAAAAAAAACTGCAGGTGCTCCACCCTCTGCACCAGAAGGAACAAATCCACCCTTGTCAGCATCAACTCCACCTGATCTCTACACTCCTCTTCAAAGCATACCTCCTGTAGCTGTTACTCAGGTAGTACTTATAATCAAACTTTAACCATTCTTCTATGCATACCACTCTCTAATTCTTTTATTCCAGAAGAAAATGAGAAAGAAAACTGTGGGAAAAAAGACTGCTAGAAAATCAAGGGCCAAAAGACACTTCGTCTTGATTGATGATGATGAAGACGAAGATGAGGATCAGGTTGTGTCCAAGAAAAAGAAACCGACCACTGAAACTCCCATGGTAAAATTCCTTAACGCCTGATTACATTTCTGGTCAACCATTATGACTAACTCGGCATAAATTTCAGGAAACTCCACCTTCTTCAGAGCAAAAATCAAGTAGAGATTTTACTGTAGACACCATTGAAAAGGAAAAGATTGAGTTTTCAGTGGATCAAGAACAAAAACCTTCAGGAAAGATCTCTCCAGCTTCCTCTCAACATTTAACTTCAACCCCAATGAAAGAATAGATTGGAGACTCCGAGGAAGTAAGTGTCTAAAATGAACATGATATTTACTTATTTATAACGATTGAAACTGATTCAATATATTGCAGGTGTAGAAAGACCCTTCTTCTCCTATTGTGCCTGCAAGATCCAACCCAAGTTCACCATTCACCACTTTGGATTCTCTCTTTGACTCTGTGTTTGATTCCCTAGATCCTGAATCCCCTGCAATTCCAACTGGACTAGCTCCCGATACTCCTTTAGAGGTAACACAGGCTGTGCAAGTGTTATTCAACATGGTGCAACAAAACCTATCTTTTACCCCCTCGTTCAAAAATGAGTTGACCAAAACACTCTCTTTCCTGAGTAGCTACCCTGGATTTTCCTTAAGTGATTCGGTCTTTTTCAAAAGCTTTCAGCTCCAAATTCCTACTATCATCACTGCATTCATCGAGTCAAACTAGGTTCTCCAACACTACTCCACTCAAACCCAAGAAAAAGAAAA